AACCAATTTCCGGAGTCTATGCTGCTCTGCTCCCCTGCTGCCATCAGTAGGGCCACTCTGGCCCGCGCTTCGGCAACACGATCCTGAATGAGACAGTCCCAGATGGCAGCCAACTGCCACATCCACCGTACATGATTGGTGAAATTCTGCACTCTCGAACGGGTCTGCAGCCATGAGCGCACTGTGGCCTGTCCTTGGGGTTCTCCCGGCACCGCCTCGCGCAATCCAAAATCTTCGCGAAGGTTGCGTTCCATCGGCTCGTAAATCAATGCAGGAGATTCCCTGACAGCCTTGCGTAGCGCGGCTAGAGCCGCCGAATTTCGGCGGGATGACCCGCTTGAACTGGCATCCGCCTTGTCTCCCAGCGACCCGCATCCCAGCAAAGCCTCGAGGTCGGGCTTCGAGTCTCGACGAGAAGCCGTGAGCGACTTTGCGATCTTGGTGAGCTCCAGAACCGCTTTCTCCATCTGCTTGCCACCCAAACCCGATCCAGACGCGTCTCCCTGAAGGACCGCATCTTCCTCTGGAGGGGGGTCCTCCTCTTCCGTTTCTGAGAGAGGGCCTGTCCGGGTTGGGGCAGCGGGGAGGTCTCCGAATGATTTGGGCCGCGCCTTGAGCAGCTGAGCCATCTGAGCCAAGTGTTCGTCCGGGATACCGGCGGCCCTCGCTGAAGCAACCACCCCTCGATCCAGGGCTTCTAACCCCGTTTTCGGGCCCTCCGCCCTCTGTTTCGGCCGATTGGCTGCTGAGCTCACTCGTGCCACTGGTGTTGCAACCTGTTGCCGTTGTTCTAGAAGAACGGCCAGCGAAGCCCTGATTTCCCCAATGGAATCTTCCAAAGCTGCAACCCTCCGATCCACACGATTCCCTGCTCCCCGAGGCGGCCGCGGCAGTTCGGACTCCGCGGTGAGGAATGAGAAATGATCGTCGGCCAGCTTTATCAAGGATGCGGTGTACGGCATGCAGCTTTGACCATCGGAATCTGCAAAAGCCGGCTCGAACACATCTTCGGGATCTTCGGCTCTGATAAGGCTCTCGAACTGACTCGAAGCATAGGCTACCCATACCTTGATTTCTACACCGGAGCTGGCTTGCGAAGGAGGATCCCCAGGGATGACACCGGCTACGGCCGCCAACGTGGGTCTGATCAAAGCACCTGGAGGAAGGAGCCTTTGAAGAGGCGAGCGATTCCAAGCAGGCCCGGGTACGGCAATAAGCAGGCGACTCCCAACGACGACAATCGGAATGACGGGAACCGTCTGAATACCATCCCCAACCGTGATGTTTACACAAAGCCCCCCCGGAATCTCTTCCAAGTGCTCGTTCTCCGCATTGACTAAGCAATAGTCCCGCACGGCCAGAGGGAGCCCATCCAGTCTAGCTCCTGGGCCTCCTCTTCTTCCGGATCCGTCATTGATCAGAACTTGGCCGAGAAAAGCCGGCGTGTTGCCCTGCCTCGCGAGCCTCTCGGCGAGAGGCGAACCCAGCGAACACTCTCGACTTGATGTCGCTGTACTCCTGGCCCGACTTTCCCCTATTCGTGCCCTCCAGGCAGCGAAGGAAGAACTACCCAGTACCACGAGCCAGCTCCAACCGGCGATCCCGCGACCGAGAGTCGTGGCTTTGTGGAGGCTCTTCGGCCCCTGCTACAACCACCTGATACCCACGTGCTGAACCTTCTCAATCTGAGATTGCAGGCCCCGACTACCTATTGAGGATTTTGTACAACGGACCAGACCCGCCACGGAGTCGAGCTTTAATGCACACTCTGGCGTAAGCGCGCCAAAGGAAAAGCAGTTCCAGCACCGGGTACAACAGCAGTCCAATGGCAATGCCCACGATAAGAGAAACCAGATCCAAATTGTATCCCCAAATGGAAACAGAAGGGGAAGGTTCCAAGGTAGGGCACAGCAAATCGAACCCAGGTGGCACCGACGGCTTTATCAAGTGTTGCCCAATCGCAACAGCAAGGGCACCGAGGGATCCTGAAGCAGCAGCTGGGGCGAGGTTGTGACCGGTTTCCATCAACAGGCGCTTGAGAGAAAAAGCTGCGCGTCAGGCGCTCAGGATAAACATGTTTAACATGCTAACTCATGGAGGGCACTTAAGATGCTCATCGATCTCCATAACAGCTGCCTGATTGCCGCACCTGTTGCGAGGGAAGGATGGACAATGTCTCAACGAGATCTTTCTAAGCATACTCAGCGCCTGTAACAGTAGTTTGGCGCCGAGAAGATCGTCACCACATGCCTGGCGGGCGAGTACTTCAACCACAGGTGCTTATTAAACGAAGTTCAGATCGACAAGTCATGCCTGTCGTGACACCAGTTGTAGCCCTCCATAACCAACTGGTGCGCCCGTGCAATCAGCTTGAGGCCATTGGCGTGGTTAAACCTGCTTCTGCCACAGCAAAGGAGCTGCAGGCCACCGCGACTCGAATGCCCGTGGCAATGGCTGTGCCGCTGCGCAACCGTTAAGGGAAACAGGCCCTTCACAGCGAATCGCTCCTAGGTCCTACCTCGTCCAACGTGGCAAGTTCAGCTAACATAACGATTGCAAGTTGTCTCAGGGTCAGTGCGAAGCTGATTGCCAGCCCAGCAACTGCTCTGAGATGTCCTGTCCAAAAGTGTAGCCAGCACCTTCATCAAGGACGCAATGCGCGTAGCTGAAAAAAGCAAGAAACACAGCTTCGAAAACGTTGTGGTCGAGGAACCACGCGGCGAGATGCCCCAGCCACATCGATCATCAGGGTCTGACCACAACAGGTCACACCTCAGTGAAAAAGGTAGCCTTGCATGTGTCACTGTGTGCGAAAGCATGGCGAATCAAAAATGGCACCGAAACCAGGGCGAGCCCTCCAATTTGGCTGCGGGACATAGGTCCCTCGTGAGGCACCTGCAGCCGAGTTCGCGAAACTGCCAGAGCTCGGGGTGTCGCAGATAGACACACGAGGTTTCTCCATGAGAACGGATGGTCCGAAAGGCTACAATCTACGCCAGCAATCACGAGTCAAACGACGCAAGCACATACACCTGGCCACCGGGTGTCTCCCACAAAGGAGCAGCTGGCGGCCTCTTGGATGCGGTCCAGCTGGCGGATGTTATCCAAGGAGTCGAGCGAAGGCGAAATGCCCCCATGCATGCCTGTGTGTGCGTGAGCATGAGCTCTTTGGTGCATGTTTCGTGTTTCAACCTCCCCCACCAAATGCCAAGTCAGCTGTCTAAACCACGCTGCATATGATCTGGTTTTCGATCACAGCTGTCACCTCAATTCTGCAGCCCATGGCACTACATCATGCGGATGCGGCACTGGTGCCGGTGCACGCTTTGAAGGTAAATCTCTCCTCCCTCGCTACCGCAGGCAGAGATTTGGGGTTAGGCTGTGGATTGGTGCTTGGAAGGTCTGAGCCGCAGGGGGCAGGTGGGTTGATTAGGTCGTAGCTGAAGGTTGGATCTCACAACAACGTCCTCAGAATTCGGGCAGGAAGCTGGCAAGTAGTCGAAGGAGTCGGTGAATAGCTTCCAGACCTGTGGCCGGACACCACTGGTGGATCCTTCTTCTGATCACAATGGAGCAGCCAGAGCAGGATTCTGCCCTATCTCAGAAAGCCTGCGGACCACGGTATGCTCGGACGCACTCATCGAAGAAGCCGTACACCTGCGTGATTTGGCCTCGGGCAGAGTCTCTCGTCGTGATCACGAGCTGCTTGTTGCTGCGAACAGACAGACATCACGCGTCCAAGTCGCGACTCTCATGGTTGCCGCGGAGAATAGTGATGCGCTCCTTGGGCAGGTGACACATGAGGGGCGTACCAGGTGTCTCGATTCCCAGGCAGTGACAACCAGCTTCCAGGAGTCCTTGAAACGCACTTTGTACAGAAACATGAGCGACACGGTCTTCACGGAGTAATAGCCGCGGTCTACGTAGTCACCCAGGAAAAGGTAGTTGGTCCTGAGCAGGAGATTGCGCAGCCTGAGTGGGCCAATAAGTATTTAGGCTTGCAAGCCCAGGAGCTCTGGAAGTGGGCCGCCAATCCGGAAGAGCTCCTGCAACGGCTGCAACGTATCACGGACAGTGGTTCACAAGCTTGCTCTTCCTGTGGGAGTCCTTCAAGTCTAGGAACTGGCCATGAATGTCTCCGCAGACGGTCACCTGCCAAGGCTGCGGAGGCTCATTCAGACTCTATAAGCATACTTGAATCTGCCGAGTCGCCGGACAGCGCACAGGCTGGCAGTTCGACTCCTCTTGAAGAATTTCCCTCACTTTCTCCTGGAGAGAACGCCATTTCGTAAGTCGAAGACCACATCTCACATGCACTGGGCCATTGGGCCATGCGTGCGGCGTGCACAGCGGGGCAGGGTCATCTCTAAATCCCGACCGAGAGACGCATAAGGATCTGCACTGTGCTTCCGACAGTTCACCCTTCTCCCTGCAAGACAGCTCTCACTGCACTCTGGCTGATGAAACACTTCATGTCTCCATCAAAGACGTGGATCGGCCTCACATGCTCGATCTGCCCTTCCAAATCTGTGTTGTTAGCGTATTCATCGGCTGCTGGCATACCCTCGGCAAACAGCGCACGACATACTTCACGAACAAAAACTGCAGAGCGGATCCCTGCCTGCACAATGGTCTGCCTCTCAGCCACTACGCGAGTGGGGCATGTGAGGAACAGATGCTAAGACTTGAGCCAAGACATGTACAGACATGTCCCATGCAAAATCGGGTACTGCAAGACAGGCTGTGGAGAGAGCCTGAATGGTAGGCTGTTGCGTGTTACCATGTACTACCCTTGCACGACATCAGACCATAAGACTCCCGACAATACCACCTTAAAGGGACCCAAACTCGGCTTGCATCAATTTCAGTATCACCAGATAGCGAACTTCATCAATGCCTGTAAAGGCTTTGGAGGAATCTCCAACACGCGGCACACAACGAAACTCTTGCTGGCACAGGCGGTGGAAGTCTCTGCCGGTGCGAAAAGCTGGGATCTTGGCCCGGTAAACACCTCCCAGTATGCCCAGAGGCTGCATCAACTGTGCCTCCAGAAGGGCAGAGGCATCGCTCCTGCTGTTCATTCCCACCAGGCTGTGGCACTGACCAGAATTCCATGAATCGCCACAACATCCCCAACCTGACCAGGACGCACACGGTTCAAGTGTGCTTCCGAAGTTCTGCCCACGATGTTTGCTTTCCAATTGATTAGAATGCCCTGCGTGACTCGTCACGAGTCTGCACTACAGAAAACGCGTCGGCTCCACGGGAAGGTCTCCATTGAGTACCCGCAGTGACGTCAATGCCAGTATGGAAGTGAAACTTCCGACAACGATCACCGACTGGCCGAAGTTCAGCCTCGCGCTGGACGGCATCGAAAAGCATTTCCAGGTCTCGAGATTGCGGGGATCCGACTTGGCCAAGGAGTGCAAGACGGCCACCTGCTTCCGGGACAGTGGAAACTTCTCTCGTCAACTGTTTGCCAGGCCTGGCCTGCTCTGCTTCAAATCTGGCCAGAGCATTGTCGTACCTCCTGCTTTCTTGTGCCTGGCAATGTCCGTTTCATTTCGGGAGTGGAGGCCTGAGGGCTTAGGGCCCTGGCCTCACCGCGGAAGTACTTCACCACCTCGCAGTTCGCCAAGGAGTCAAAGAAAACCTGGAGCAGCTGCAGAGCCCCGGGGCCCCCCCCACATCCCACAGGAGAAACGGTGTGGAGATAAGTCCCGCGCTGCACTTGCATCCTCTTCTGCTCGATTGGATCTTCGCATGATCTCCCGCCTGACTTCGCAGGTCACAGACAGCGCTACAGTAGTCGCTACAGCAGGCTGTCGCATTGCTCTACGACTCGAAGAGCATCCGCCTGCCTGTGATTGGAGAACTTCGTGGTGAAAGCCTCGGCTGAGGCAGATCCAAACTTCTCATGGGAACTTCTCGCTTGCGTGCGAAGTCCCAGTCACCTATACCAAGGAGCTTGCCACGTACAAAGCGATGGTGGAAGATGCCGCTAGGGCACAGCCGGGTCCTGCGTCTGCCATGCTCTCTTGTGTTGGTACGTTCAGACACCGCATCTGCCTGCGAGCGACGCCATGACCGTCAACGCCATGGCACACTCGACAGCTATGGGCATGACATTGAAAAGGAGCATGTTCAGCACCTGGCGCACGCGTATCCAGGGCCATAGTCTCAAAATAGGTATTACAGCCTGCAAGTATCCCCCCCAAGCAAGCTGGAGTCAGAGTAGCTGCAAGCAGTTCGCTGAGTCACGGCCTGTGTGAGCGACTTTGTGGCACGATTCACCACAACCTTTGCAACTTGCCGACAGGCCGCATGCAGTGCCATGCTTCATGAGCTGATGTTGGGTAAACTGACATGTTTCGGACGTCGACAACCAAGTAACTGTGAGATCCATGACATTCCATGACCTACGATGAAAGCTTCGGACCTCCCGACCTTCTATGCTTTGTCGTTGCTGACATGCCACTTTCGATGCGACCGGGCCAAAATCTCAGCCCGGAGCATTCAGTGCACCAGGCTTGCTAGACAGCAGGAAACTCCTCGGCTCGGCTTGTGAGACAACTTTACGCAGGGAGCTAATGCGCATGCTGGCAAGCTGCGTGTCCAAATGATGCAGATGCCTTTGCTGCAAGGTACTCATGACGGCAGCGACAGAGCCATGGCCGTTCCACAACTCGTTGATACCAGGGCTACCACTCATAGCCACCAAGATGCTCGAAGCTACGCCTGGCAAGAGCCCTGCAGCTGCTCTGCGAAACTGTCGCGAAGAGCGCTGCGCGCAGCTCATTGAACGCCTAAGCAGATCTAGCTGAATCTGGCTCTACACAAGAAGGGTACTGCCTCGCATCAGAGTAGCCAGTTCACATCTACCCAGTGGACAGCTTCCTGTGCCTTCCTCTCTGTTGAACTCAAGTTTGAGGGCTGAGGCACCCTTCAATGGGACCGGCAGGGACTGCACCTTTTTCCTATCGAAACAGGCCCAGGGTCTGAAATTGTTCAATGCCATGATGTTCGACACGAGCTCACCACGAACGCAGAAGCAACGGCAACAGCTCAAGCATAGGCACGACAAACTCCTTACCCATGCCGTCCAGTCACACTCGTGGAGAGCCGGGCTAAGCCATACGCCTTGGAACTTGCTCGATTGCTCGAAGACTTCTCCCTCTTCTCTCACTGTCCGCTGTCTCCCTGCCCCTTGCATTGATCCGAGTGGCAGCCAGCAGCCCCAAAGGCAGAGCTTCGATGCCAGAGCCCAGTGCGTCCACCAAGTGCCCGAGCCTCAGATCAAGGCATCGACAACGAACTGTTCGACGGTTCGATCCTGCGTTCATCACACTGAAGACTTGAGAAGATGGCTCCTGTGCATGCTCAGCTCAAGCTTTTAGGTCCAGCGGCTGCAGGGGTGCCAAGATGGCCAATGCTTTGCCGGCCACCAGCCCCACCACTGCAAAGCCGATACGGCCCTGCGAGAGGCAACACACGTCACAGCCAAGGACATGCAGCCGTGTTGAAAGCAGACTGACTGCTCTCTGGTTCACACCAGCACTGCCTGGTGCGAGGCTTCCCGCGGCCAAAGCGATCGCATCAGCAGGAAGACTGATGTATTGCCTCCAGGCGGAACATAGTTAGTGAACCTCGAAATGACACACCGCTGTCGTGGGGATCCTCCGCGCAGAGTAAGCCGGGTCTCAAGACTCAGAATTCATAACGCGAGAGGCTGCTTACATGCCGCATCCGGAACTATCCGTCTCGCTCGTGGAGAGTTAACGGGATCCGAGGCATCCGACGGCCCAGGCCTTCTTTGTCCTTTGCGGCCACCGCAGTCTTGTCCAGCCCCACATCCTGTCGGCACGGACCACAGATGCCCGGTCAACCTTGAGGTGGAAGGTGGTCCTGCGAAGACAGCAGCCGCAGCGGCAGGTAAGCCCCTAGCAGCTGGAAGATGCCGCAAGGCAAAGTACATTACATCACAAAGCTCACACTACCTACACCGTAACGATGCAAACGAGCCTGGAGGCTGCCCTGGCCCCGGCGTGTTCGGGAGCCGCAGCCGTCCAACAGGCCCTTTTGGCAAAATCAGCGCGAGGCGTTTGAAAACATCAAAGCAGAACAAGAAGACCCCTAACCAGACCAGGCCTAGGCGCGGACGGCACAGCCGCAGAGGCCGCAAAGAATGGCATCGCCACATGCTGGGAAGCACACGTCCTGAACTTGCTGCTGCTGTATGTCATGTCGTCTCAGTCTCGCGACGCAGGGTCGATAAGTACAAGGCTTGGGAGAAGGGTAAAGATCTTGCGAGCTGATTGGCCATCTTGGTTCAGAGCCAGTAGCCTGCAAACGGAAGCATTCGTTTGTAGAAGTCCAATCTGCAACGCCGGAACATCCGGGCTGATGCTGGTGCTGCGCACAGACAAAATGTCGTTTCCCATCTCGCCCAGAATTATGAATCTTCGCCACAGGCAAGTTCGATATACACACACACACACATACGGCACGTTAGACTTAGCAGCCGCTAATGGCACGAAAATCCCGGAGTCATCTTCCGTCTCGAAATCGTGGGCTCGTGGCAAGTTGAGGCAACCTGCGTCACAGCCAAGAAGTCTTCGCCTCGTCCGGTTTCCGCTCATCTCACATTCGGAGCTGGCTGGAGTTGGTAAACGTCCTCCACGGCAAGCTTATTGTATTCTTGTCATTACTGATCCTCTTATTGTTCTTAAGTCTTAAAGTGTGGTGTACTTATTCTGATGTTTTATTCCTTAGTACTTCGTTTATCTGCGGCTCCGAGATAGTGATGACTTAGCACTTGCTACTTGGTACTCACTACTTCGTACTTGTCACGTGTGTCTTCTTATTATTATTCTCTCTCTCAATCGCGCAGAGCGTGTCCACAGGTGAGACCGCTCGTCAGCAGCCCTGTCAATGGGACTAATGTGCGGGGAAAACATAGAGTCGGCGGAAGCATACAGCTTGGGGAACAAGTTCCGGAAAAACTACATACACGATGGACATGTCTATACAGGGCTCTTCGCTACCCTTTTCGGGTGAGACGATGGCAGGACTAGGGTAAATTTTCCGGCCACCGTGGGGAAAAGCTTAGTCACAAAGGACGCTTCTAGAGTCGCTGGTAAAGCTCACCCGACGCACAAGGGGAATTCGTGACCACTCGCCGATAAAAGATGGATCACCTGATAAGTCAGTTGACGTTGGTGTAAAGCGTGGGAAGGCCGTGGTCCCCCGGTTCGCCTCATGTCGGCTCCCCTAGACAGCTTTGTGGAATACTTCAAACGGGGCAACTGCTAAGTTGAAGTCAATGTCATCCAGTGGGAAGTTGCTGTGCAAGTTTTGACAGATCAAAAGTATGGTCATCCAGAAGTGTGTCCCGTCGTACGGTGTAGACATGCACCTGCAGACCTGACAGTCTGATGGGATGTTCCAGAGGTTTCCGGTTGCGTCATTGGGAGCCACCGGTCTCCCATGCTTGGCAAAACACGTAGGCAAAAAGCGGCAGGGTCAAGTGGAACAAACGTAGGGAGGCACGCCACTCCCACATCGGTCTGGAAATAGAGTGCGGGATGACATTCAGACCCACATAAAACCTCCAGAATAATTTGTTGGAAAGCGTGATACCAGTCGAGGTTGATGGTCAGGTGCGAAAAGTCTAAGGAGAGCCCATCCTCCACTGATAATCTGATCATCGTAGCGGTGGAATTGAGTACCGACTTGCAGTGGACGGTCAGGCGCATGTGCTTGTATTGGCAATCGGCAAGAAGCCGTAATGTCAATCACTGCGGGACATAGTGGCAATCCTGCGGTTCGCGCGAAGCTGGTACCATGGCGGCACGGATAGGGAAAGGGACGATCCACGCTGTCTTGTGCCAGAACCTTCTTATTATTATTATGTAATCTTATTCTCTCGTTTCTTCAGGTTATTCCCAGTCGTATTCTTTATTCTTCTTACATATCACAAAATGCAGAATCAATACTTATTGCATATTGCTAATTCATATTCTTACACTCATCGCCAGTCTTGTGCGCATTCCTATCACCATCATCGTCATCATCATCATCATCATCATCAGATATTTGGTATTGTGATTGTCATTTTCGTAGTAGGAGCGTAGGAGCAAGAGTACAAGTACGGGTTGTAGTGGCAATCGTTGTTGCAGTGGCATTGGCGGCGGTGGTCGTCGTCTGGGTGGTGTGGTTCTAGCTATGGTGGCGGCGGTGGTCGTGGTGCTGGTGGTGATAGGGACTGTGGTGTATAGCCTCCGTCACTGCTGATGCTCCTGGCTCTGAACATGTTCTCGTCGTGGTTAGTTCTTGTTGTTGTTGCTGTTGCGGAAGCTGCTGCTGCTGCGCCAGCTGCTCAGTCTGCTCACTAGCACACTGAGGACAAGAAACACGAGTTCGCAACGACTGCAGAATGAGACGCAAGAAAAACTTAGCGGTACAAAGACGAGAATCTGCAGCGGGAAGAGGAGCTAGAGAGGTAAGAAGCAGCCCTGTCCTGGTGACAGCGTGGTAACCTGGTATAAATAATGTGACAACGACTTACTGCTGCTCCTCCTGCCACTGCCACCGCTGCTGCTGCTACTACTGCCTGCTACTCCTGATGCAAATGCTGCTGCTGCTTCTGCCTCTACGGCCGTTGCTTCTGCTGCTGGTCTATTGCTGCCACTGCTCTTCCGCTACGATTTACAAGTGCCACTCCTGCTGCCTGCTCGCGCTACCTCCTACGCTGCGACGACGACGACGACCAGGACCATCATCCCAACCACGACCAAGACTGCCAGAAGTAGTCGGCACACCCGGTCACGTGCACGAACCCATGCCACAACACTGTTCCGCCTAACCGAACCTCTGATAAAACACAGCACGCAGGCTTGAGCGTTGAGTCACCGCCCCTCGATTCCCTCCGCTTCCCTCCTGCAGATTCAGCTCGACATACTGGGCGACATGGCTTCCTCTTTCTTGCGGGAACGGCCCTTGCGAAACTGCTTCGCAAGGAAGAGGGCCTCAGCTCAACTCAACTCCCAGCTGTCAGCTCGAGCCATGACACGGAGACACACCAGGGCCCGATCACTGAAGATGATGTACAGTGCATACACTACCTGACATAACCAGCCCATACGATTGCTCCATCCCAACTGAAGGATATCTCACGAGGGCCTTCGTTTCTAAACTCGTGGGGCTTCTGATGATGTCCTGCGCAAAAAACATCTCCACGAGCGATCCAAAATCGAGACTGAAACGTGGGTCGATGATTGATGGCCGGTCCTGGCCAAGCAGCATCCAGGCGAGGGACAGCAGGGTCCCCGCCGTCGCACCCACGCCAACCTGAGCCTGGCAGTACTTTGCACCTGGAAACTCCGACTGAACGCGTGACGTGTGCACATGTTGTGGCCTAGCCACGTGTGAGCAAAGTGTCATAAGTTGCCTCGAGCTGGTGCTGGTTTCTGCTGCTCTCTCTCCTTGCTTGGACAACTACCCTGACAGGGCTCGTTGCATGCCTGTACAGCAGCTCACGCGCCAAAGCAACCATCAGCCTAAACATAGCCAGTTTTGCCCAAGTGTGGTGCCCGCAGATCACACGCAACACCTGACAGAACTCCTCGTTACGTAATCTGATGCGCAACAGCATGGCATTGGGTGCCCCGCACTGATCAAGATTGCAGAAGCTAGCAGCAGCGCTGAAGTCCTACCTGACCTGGGGCGGGACGTGAGAGCACATACGAGTCACAGTGACAAAGCACAGAAAAGCTTCAAACGAATGGCAGGCCACCACAACTGTTGAAACCAGCAGTTGATCAGAAATGAAGCTGCACATCGGCTTCCTAGAGTCCTAGAGCCTACCGTACGGCCTGCTGCTCAGGTCCATGCTGATGCAGAATCATTGGCCAACAAAGACAGTAAGTCGCTGGCTGGACTTGGGTGGCCCATGCCACCGACATGAAGGTTGCGACCTGAAGGACTCCAAAGAGAGGCTCCAAAGCGCATGAAACCGTAGCTTCTGTGTCTGAGCAAACCGCCAGTGCATGGGAAGAGGGCATCCCGGGATCTGTCAGTGGAGATCCTGGGGGTCTCCGCTGGTTGACGATTCGCCTAGGGCTTGGAGGCAGGTCCACTTCTGCAAGCAGTCGGTCACATGTTGCTGTGTTTACAGCAGCGTCGCAACCGAAGCTGCATTTCCATCCGTTTTCCAACTGCAATTCTTCTCCGTGTCAGCTGTGAACGCGCCATGCTCTTTGGAATGCTTGCCACCGAAATGGATTCGTCTTCGGCACATTGGCCGACGTAACCCTTGAGTCAATCCAGGGAGTTCCGTGAGAGCATGCCTGACCTTTTCGGGACCTGCCAGAGTGATCCTCCTCTCCTGCAGGGTCGCTGGGGTGTAGAAGCGTGTGCTACCAGTATCAATCGAACATCAGCCAGAGAGCTTCTATGTTTTCGTACTGCCACCCACCAGCATCTGGAGCCTCTCGGAAAACTCTTCCGCCCCCAAGCCTTCCACTTTGCTCCCATGGCCGAGTCTGCTCATACCCCGAGCCATTCCACCCGTGCTTTACGGGAGCTGTCGGCACCGCCAGCGCCAGCACCCAACAGTTGGCATAAAGTGCCTGTTCTTCTTGTGGACAAGACCCACCCGGGGCCTCCTTCAATTTGGAGAAAAATCCCTTTTGCCACGGCTGCTGCCTCGACCACGCTGAAGCGCTCGCCTCTCAGCCTCGACGTGCACTTCCACCTCAGTCGTCCACTCTTGGGCTGCTTCGCTCTGCGAGCCCCCGGGGCTGCCTCGTGTCATCGTGTGTCCTACCGGTCTCATGTGTGGCCTGCTTCAATCCTTGCAGCTCCTTCTTGAAGCGCTGCACGTCAAGAATGAGTTGCGCAGGGGGATCTTGAAGACGCCTTGGCTGGTCATGGCCTCGGAATCCGCACCGAAGCCCGCTCCGACATGACCTGATGCGGCCGAGTCTGAAGGCCAGCGGCTGCGGTCGAAAATCGCTTCAGGACAGCATGCATGTTGGCATGTTGTGAGCCGTGCATCACCACGCGTGATGGCTGTACAAGCTGTTCAGCTGGGCACCATACTTGATCTTCGCAGTGAAAAGCGATGCCGCAATGCCACCTAGCACGATGTATGGACCTGCATTCGCCGAAAGCGTCATGAATCATCATGAACCAATATAATATGACTCATAGGTCATAGGGGACTCGCATACACATGGTGAGTAGAGCATAGTACAGCTCAGTGCCAAACTCAGTATATCATGCCGGATGACCACGGCTGCTGTCCTGAGATTGAAAGACGCCAAAGGCAGCGCATCGGGGAACCGTGCCTTGGGCTGCTGGGCTACGCTATGCGTCTCTGAGAGCAGAGCTGTCCAGCAGTGACCAGCCATTTAGATGAGGCCTCGCTGTCAAACTCAGCGTGCACACCCGTGCGCGCACAGATGCGCCCGCACACGCGTGCACCAAGACAGACTAAGCTTTCAAAGAGGATCAGGCGTCAAGCTTGCGAACGCTGGCGGGAACGCGTCCTATCAGCGACGCACACGAAAGCAACAGCAACATCCGTCTGACAGTCGGGCATCTCCCTTGGTCTCCTGCAGCCAGTTGCACCCTGGCCCTGGCTACAGGAACGCCACTGCCTGGGCGGCGGGCGAAGCTGCCAAGAATCAACAAAAGTTCGCAAGGCCTGTGAAGTCCATTGCTAGGCACCCAGGTGACTGGAAGCTCTAGCGCTCGGGAATGCTGTTGGCTACTCTGTGGGTTGTTTTTCGTGTCTTTCGTGTAATGGCTTAGCGGAAGCTGGACGGCAATCGGGCAGGCAGCATCGACCTCTTCCCACTGGTGGGCCTTTAGCCTTTGCTTGCCGGAGACCGAGAGTTCTTTTTCCGCCTCAAAGGAAAACCCTCCTTCGCCGTCGACTCGGTCGAACGGCCGGCCTCCCCAAACACTCCAGGAGAAGCTGCGCTGGTGGAGACGGGGCTCGAGCCGACATCAACTCCACGACTTCTCCAGATCTGGAGCTCCAACTTCCGGGTGCGCCCAGCTCGAGGCACTCGCCCTCATCCCCAGCAGGCTGCACGGGCCCAGGCTCCTGGCCCTTCTCCAAGCAAACTCCTTGGCAGTTGCTGCAGTGATCCGATGGGATGACGAAGCGGTCCTTGCATTTGAAGCCCTCGTGGTCTTGGCAGCACTCTTGCCAGTGACCCATAGAGTCCTTGATGGGCCGATGGACCCAAACCTTCCTCTGGCAAAAGGGCCCGAGCTCGGGAACCTCACGTGCTCGGGCCAACTCGGAGGCAATGTCTGTGCACTTCTCCCGAAGCTCCTGTGCCTGTTTGCCCATTGGGAATTTCAACAACCCAAGAAAGTTGGCAGCGTCGTGGCTGAGAGCACCTTGAGTCTGAAAGGCTGGTGGAGATGGCTGGTGCAAACTTTGTTGCAGTAAGCGGAGTTCGCCGAGACCCTCCAACATATCCTTCAGCCCCGCTTCCTCCTTCTTCCGAGCTGTTTTCGCAGCCTTGCGTCGACAGCTGGGCGAGGCTTGCAGACATGTCCAGTCCTTGTCGTACCAGGCTGGCGCTTTCTGAAGCACCTCCTTCCAGGCTGTTCGGGATCCGGATCCCCCCAGCCCCTTCAAGGCCGAATTGAAGTTCTGGTACAGCTGTGTCTTTCCTGTCTTCTGGTGGTAGCACACCACCTCACAGCGATAGTCCTCGACACACTTGTTTCGGGCCTCATCCAGGCTGCCAGAATAGTCTGCTTCGTCCGGAGCATGCGGCCCGTCATGATATTGGAAGGCTGTGCGCATCGTCGCACCTGCCCTGATTGAAATTCACTCCATAATGGTGCATGAAGAAGCTACTACATTGCTAAGGCACAGAACAGTGTAAATACTACATTACTACAGTACAGAATCTGTCACACCTGAAAAGGATCTGGGACGCTTGCACTGTCCGATCTGTCACTTCCATGGCCTCGGGCATTCAGTGTGCGCCTGTCTCTCCGAGAAGGTCCGGCGGCCCCACTGTTTTGTCACTCACGCAAGGCACTTAGATATGTATGAAATGCCGAAGATTGCAGCCCAGACTTTTTCTTTGAAAATTCGCTCATCAGTCCAGATTCAGTCGAGTTGGTCCATGAAGTTTGCATGTGCATCAAGGCCGCAGAACCCCGTACTTGATCCCATGGCTCATGTACCAATGCCATATGCCACACAACCAGCTCAATGACTGTGATAGCTTCACGGGGCGACACTCGGATGAAACCGACAGGGCTCTGGCTGCAGCCTCAAACCATGCCATCGAGAAGTGAAGGTAAAAGTGTTAAACAAGTTCTCAAACAGTGACGACACTGGGAACGGCTCAGGATAGGGGTGTATCCTGGGACACACGTAGCTTTGCGGAGTACCCGATCTCTGATACTAGCAGCTCGGGGCTCGTTCGGCTCTGCTCTGCTGTTCCCAGTGCCCGTTGCAGGCTTGAGATGGCCAAACTGGTCCATCCCGTCTGGATACCTTTACGGACATCCGAATTAGAACCGGCCAAGCCTCCATGCCAACGAATGAATGGAAAGAAGCCTGAAACAAAACACAGACTCCAGACTCCAACAAAACCAGGATGCCTGAAGCTACGCAATCCTGCAAGGCCGGCGAGTCCCAGCAGCGCCCCAAGGCGGTGCTTCGAATTTGGGAGCGTCCTACCTGCACCCGATCATGCACCCGCAAAGACAGCCCCAGGAAAGCCTCCAGAAGCCTCCATTCCTCCATTCCTCCGTCTTAGTCTTGGGGCCCGGGCCCATAATAGGGTGCAGCTCAACAGCTCCCAGGAAAATCATGATCTTGGGCTCTTTATTACAAGGCTAAATGTCTAAACCACACGCCAAAACCCTGTGAGGCTGCCCAAGCATACCCCGCATACATGGATTGAACACAAACCACAAGGGGCATCTAACTTACATGAATATGTGGGTATATGTGGGTTGAACAAGTCGACATGATCACAACGTGCCGCAGGGCACGAGAACCATCGAACCATCAGGGCCTTTTGTACGCAACAGTGGGCCGAGGCCGAGTGGCCTCGGCGGGTCTCTCTGCCTGCACTGCAGGCCCTTTCAAAAAATCTGGTCGCCTACACGGCCTTTGAGGAGCTCCTGGCATGCCAAGACGAGCTACTAAGGGCACAGCCAAGCGATCCCCGCTAAGCGTGGCAGACCTACATGGGGCGGAATTCTGTCCTCCTGTGCCCACGGAGCCTGAGCACGCTGTCGCACTTTTGACTCGCTGCCATAATACGACTCGATGCCACAGTACAGCAGGTCTCGGCGGCCAACTCCTTCTTGCTGTTGCCGCCAGCCTCGACGCTTAGTCAAAATAGTTCAGCCACCGGAAAACAGTGCCAAGGCTGCCACCAAGACCGAATCCCCGGAGCGTGTCCTGTGCAGTTGCGGGCCGATGTAGGTAGAAGAGCCCGTCTGCCGATCCCAAGAACCCGCATGCGATCCTGGCTTCAAAGCCGCCCTTCTTGGCACCCTGGGCAGCTTTCCATGATCTTCGAAGTGCGGCTACCGCCTCTCCCCTCCGCATACAGCTCCCTCAGGCGCCGTCGGAGTGGATGCGGCCAGAGTTCTTTCGCGACTAAGCACATCATGGCACAGCAGCATTTTCAGAACGCGAAGAGTTCAGCATGCCAAAGTCTTGGCTCTCAGAAGCCGACCATCTTCTTCGGTGCTGCAGCCGCTTCAGTGGCGGTGGGTGCCGCAGCGGCGGCTTCGGCGGCGGCTTCGGCGGCGGCTTCGGCAGCGGCTTCGGCAGCGGCTTCAGCGGCTTCAGCGGCGGCTTGCATGTCCTGGAGGATGGACTCGACGTCGACTGTGTCCGGGCCTTCGACCAGCCAACATGCGGACCAATGCAGCTCTCTTCCAAATCCGAGCTTCCCACATGGTTTTGACCTTGGTGCCGATTCTGCTCCCTCTATTTCATATAACGAGGTGCTAGGGCGACTGTGATCAAGAGTGCCCTTGCTGAGCTCACTTCTCATCTGCGACTACCTCGCGGCAGATTGAAACTTCGAAGGGCTCACAAGCTAAGGCTTTCTCGAGGTTCCGGCCCAGGAGGCCACCACGGTGATGTCGTCCTGTTTCCTCGGGCGTGGCGGGGTGGGGGCGGGGGTAGGGCCCCCATGATTCCGCGTCTCTTCCTCGAGCGGCCCCTTCGGCCCGAGTCGACTCGGGCCCTGGCCCGCCCAGGCATTCGAAACCATGTCGCTTCGAATATTCCACGAAGGGCACCTGCCATCGCCAACCCAAAACGGCACCCGGCGCTTCGGGCTTGGGGCCCCCAAAAGGTCGGGCCTTGGCTGTCGGGTCCATGGACCTTTCTTGGGCGGCCAAAGCCAACGCTTTGGCGATGGTCTCCGGCGGCCTCGGATGGGGCGTCTACCGTGCTCTCGGATCCTCAAAAGGATCCTCAAGACTTAGAGCTGCTGCGTGCAACGGTCCAGCAGCCCCAGCATGTCCTGGGCAACTTTCTCAGTAAGCTCCAAAAGAAGACTTGGAAGCTTCACTGTGGTCCAAGGCCAAGGCGGCCTGAGCTGGCGGCAGCGCTCGATCTACGATGCTGAGCACCTGTGCACAGAGGCCATATCTCCATCTGCATCTAGCTTGTTTGCTTGCTTGCGCGAACTGCGAAGCACTGAGAGCCTCCCGGTCATGGAGGTTGTCACGGAGCCCATCCGAGAACATGAGCACAAGGTCGCCCTGTGCACCAGCGCCGGGTTGGGCACTGAGGCCAAGCCAAGGCCAAGGCACGACATGCTGCGGGCACCTCCTTGATTTCGACTGTGTAGCGCTCACCTGATTTGCTGTCTTTCATGTTTCGATGCATGTCGAGCAAAGCTGTTTCTTGCAAACAATCACAGAGGCCCCTGCAATCGCTAGCTTTGTCCAGCTGCAGCTTTGGAAAGCGGTTCAGCAACGCCTTCGCACAAGGCCCTAGAGCCGGACATGTGATTAGTTTTCACAGGCTCGTGCCTTGGGCAAGCGAGTGAGCTGATACGGACAATTCCTCGCTTCCGAGCCAGATTCGAAGGACATTCGGCTCCAGTCTCCAGTCCAGTGACACTCTGTTAGGCAGCGCACCAGCTGTGCTGTTGTTCCTCCGACTTCATGATGATCTGGGAGGCAGTGCAAAACAGAGCAGCCCCTAGTCCCAGAAGTCAGATATTGGAGGGAGATGACGAGGAAGAGATGAGAATCAGAAGGCAGACGAGCGTAATGACGAAGACGATGACCATGACCATTCCGGGGGGACCCTTGTATGAGTATATTGCTGCTAGTATTGTTACATCTATTGCTACTGGTACGATGAACATGACCTTGCTGACACTGCGCCATCCCTCGATGATGACTGTGGTGACTACGACTCTCATGGTGACGGCCGAGGCGACACCGAAGCTGAGGCTGAGATGCGCTGCGGATATTAGGGCGGCTGGTGCCGCTTGCCAGGCTAGGATGCTGAATCTCGCAAGACACGGCTGCGAAACGAGCAATGCAGAGGCTGGTAGAGTGCTCGCAGAACGAGGCATGACAAAAGGTCGGATTCATGTTAAGGTGTTCACCATCATCACCATCGCGATCATCAACAGCAGGAGCAGTTACAACTACGGCAACCGCAACATGACACCATGAGTTCCTAGTGTTGATTAGCACGGGCAATATGACAGCAGATCTATCACGGAGACGCAGCAACGGGCGCGGCTTCGACCTGGGGCCACGGCATTCATTCCATGAGGGCCCTTGCGCAGTAGCATAAAGCCTCACGACGTGGCCGTTTGGCAAACTCTCTGTAGTCCCCAGCTCTGGAGGGAACGTCCTGTGAAGGCTCTCGTGATCCTTAGTAGTCTTGAGGCGCAAGCCCGAGTCGCCAAGGTTAGCGACTCCAATCTGGTTTCCTGGACCGGACTTACAGCCAAAGCGGAAGCTGGCACTGGCATCTATATCAATGCCGCCTTGCTGGCAGAGCACGGCAACCGTCGAGGCGCCGTACGCCTCAGTGGTGTCGGCGCAGCGCAGGCGCAACAGGCGGGCGCCCATCTGCTGCTTGGAGCCGCTTCTGAAGTCTCGAACCTTTGAGCTCCAGGCCGCCGCATGAGACTCACCGTGTGCCAACGCTGTAGCAGCACGCTCTGCAACATCGTCACCTGGCGTTCCGGTCCAGAGCTTCTGAAAGAGCGGGCAAATACGAGTGCCCAGTTGCCAAAACTTTGTTAAACAGCCAGGGGTTCGAATTTTGCCTTCGGACGCCAAGCCGTCGGGCCTCAGCGAGAGCAGCTGGTGAGCGTGCACGTAACTGTGGGGCGGTTTGAACGAGGCTTCAGCTTCAGAGCGGTGCTGGAGAACTCCATCCTCGGATCCGACGACCACCACATGCACAGAGATGCCAAGCATCAGCATCCTCATCCCATGAAAAGCTCCAAGGATGGTACAACTCTGCTGCATACTGGGCAGCATTGATCCCGTAGCTGGCAAATTGCACCTCAGCCAAGAAGTGTTCTTCCTCGAGCTTGCAAGCGACATGCGCACCACCTTGTTCACTGATGCTTGCGGAGCTTTTTTCGATCATTCTCATCGTATTCGCATCAGTACGAAACAAGGTCACTGTAGCGTGACTTCTGGGACTACACAGAATTCCCACACGCAAGCTCCAGGATTGCAAAGTCTGAGAGCTTGACCATGCAGCCGACTCCATCAGCCACACCCATGCCATGTGGATCAACAAAATATGCGTCTTCACCTTGTGAAATCTCTTCGACGCTTTGCTTCCGCTTTGCTTCCTAGGGTGACGAAGGCTGAAGCTCAGCCACACGCAAGCACCGTGAGCTTTCTTGATCAAGTGCGCGCCGGCCCACAAGCGCAGTTCGGATCCTGCAGAGTTCACGTGGCTGCGGCTGTCATTTCTGCAAAGGTGGTCCCGGACGGATCCTTCATCGAGCGGTTCCTTCCCTGCAGGGGGTGCCGGAGCCTCGGGGAGGACCTCAGTCAAGAAGTACAGTAGGTACTGCCTGGAGTGGTCTGTAGAGTCTTGAGCACAGGGCGACCCCATCCAAACGGAGCATGAGCTCCCGATCAAACAATCCTGTTTGCTCTCTGCGATGTGAGTCTTACGACTTACAAGGAGAGGTGAGCTGCACTGCTCAGTCTCAGCTGCAAGTGTCACCCAACTCGCGAAGTTGCATCGCCTTCGTAAACCTCTTTCGCAAAAGGGCTGAACGAGTTGCCGCTGTCCTTGACACAAAACACTCTGTTAGCACGACTTCGGCCAAAACACTCTTGCGTGTGGCTTGAGCGTACCGTGTAACAGTCCGGTCCTGACCAGCTGCCTCGTCATCTGAATCAGCATTACCAACCAAATTCCCACCTCACTCGAGACTGCTCCAGGGATCCTCTTGCGCGCTGCAATACGAGTAGCATCCTCAAGCTAAGTTCCAAGCACACGCTGTATGGGCGAGCGATGTTGTTTTGGCCACCAAGTTCCTGCTGAGAATATGCCACAGAAGATAGGCATCATCTACCAATCGTGGCCCGCAGGCCTGCAGGCCAACCACGTCTGCTGTTGACCCGGAGCCCACACAGGAATCCATGGCCTGTCGTGTTCCGTCACATGCTAAACTCCTGCTCCGTACGGCATTAGGGCGGCTCAAGATCAACATAAAGACGCTTCAATCCGACTTCATGCTGGGCTTACCATGTCACCAATCTTCTTGGAGCGTGTCTTCTCGACAATCCTTGGCAGAAGGATTTCGACACGATGTCGATGTTGTCGAGTAGCGCTTGCGAGCTGCACGACTGATAACCAATTCTTGCACCGTTGTTGAATCAAACACACTGAAACTGAGAGCCTTTCGGCGCATCCTCTGATAGCCTGATAAGTGCACACAATCTGGGCTGGTGCAGTGCAGCATGCATGTGGATGGTCGCATGTGACTCCTGAGTCTCAAGCTGACCCTTGCTGTCTCGGGCCAACAAGTAGCGACCTGGGTATCACAAAACTGAGATAGCCCCAACCTTGGTGCAAGTCTCTGGCAAGGGCCCGGCGAATTGGATCACTTACATGCATTGCATTCCACCGACCAAGCCGCATGTGCTCGCAGGAAACGACGAAGACCTCGTTTCTCCGCTCTAGGAAGCTCCGTGCAGCCGGCTCACTTCTCAGCGTCTTCTCCGCATTTGAGCTCCCCGGCCCCGTTGACACGAAAGTGGAAGAAATGGATGCCAGGGGTCAAGTCCGCGGTAGGGACCGCAAGAGACCAAGCTGCCTGTGCGTTCGACAAGGCCGCGAGGAAATGCAAGAATCAAAGGCTCGCAGAGAATGAGGACCCAGCTTGCTGCTCCTCCTTGTCGTAACTTGCCAGCTCGAGGGTCGTGGCCGGTCTTTGGCTCTTCTCCTTCCCAGGTTCAAGGCTTCGTTTTGGGTTCCAATCACGGTACCCATCTGCTGTGAAACAGGGGCACACGCATCTTGCTGTCTTCGCCCAGCCTGAAAAACGACCTCCACCAACATCTTCTTGGCATCGTTCTCGGCCAAGTTCTTCATCTTGAAATTCAGGAACTGCCTCAAACAGAGCTTCGGTAAGGCTTGCCCTAGACGAGTTTTTTCGAAGCATTTTCCAACAGTGGCCCTGACTCGTCCGAGCCCGCAGAAGTTTTGAAACTAAGGAAGCTGTGTCCCCGGCTCCTTGGGAGGAGGGCCTTGGGAGTCCTTCCTGCGCCTCATGGAGATGGCACAGCTGGCAACGAGCGCTGCTGCAACTCCGACTACTATTACTATTATTATTACGATTACTACTATTACTACTATTACTACTAATACTACTCCGATTCCTCCTCCGCCTCCTACTACTGCTACTACTATGACTACGACAACGACTACTACTCCCCGCTCCTGCTGCTCTAGCTCCTGCTGCTGTTGCCACTGCTAGTTGTGCAGACGACCACGACCACAGATACTGCTAAGACTTCAACTGCTGGAGTTACTGGAGTGACGTCTTTTCTGCTCCTGCTGATGGTAGACTGATAGACATGATCAAGCATTCGCAGGCGTGCTTCGAACCACACTGTGCTGAGCTGCGCACGCCCACTGCTCCGCCAGTAGCGGCCGGTCAGAAGCCCCCAACAGACTCAAAGACGTACTTCGCCTCTGTGCGAAACTGTCAGAACTGGCTTACCATCTGAGCACAGCCAGGGCTCCAGCCGTGGGGCATCACCAAAAGCGGCCGTCGTAGTGTGAGGTTGCTTCTTCATCAGGTGTTCCGTGGCCTCAGGACCGAGAATCATTCCTTTCCCTCTTCCAGCACAATTCATGTAAGCGGCGCAATTTCTGAGGCTGCATCCGATCCGAGAATCTGCGGTGGTGCAGTCATTCTCGGGTATGAAGTTGTGGTGGTTGCGCTTGTTGCACTTGTTGCGCTGGTAGCAGACGTGTCAGCACCACTAGCGGTGGGCCTCAGCATGGCATGAACCCTGAGTCACTCAATCCATCTGCGACTGACTCTCCCATCCACGTCGAGGCAGGAGCGACAAGGCGGCCCTCACCAGGGCTGCATCCTCTTTGCCGTCCTTGCCGTTGATGGTCTTCTTACCTGGACTCCGACTGATACATGGGATTCCTGGATCCTACGTTGATGCGAGCGGCCCCGCCTGCAGCAGCTTCCATGGCCTGGCGATCGCTGGTCCTGGCTCGTTTTGCGAACGCAGGGAGCGCATTCGCTGAGGGTATTTGGACCTGGATCTCCTGTTTTAACAAGAGCGGTGTCTCGAAACGAAACTGTCCAGAATCTGCCCTTTGGGCACTGGAAGAAGCTGTGCTCTCGATCGGAAGGGGACTTGCTGCTGCATTACTCTCGCCCCCTGGTCATTGATCCATCTTGCATCCATCATAAAGAGCGCCAAGTGCACTTAGTCGCCAAGAGCATGATTGACGAATCAAGTCTATCGATTTCCTTCATGATGGGATGCTGAGGATCACTCAGGCAGAAGTTGAAATGCAAATCTGTTGCAAGAAACTGATTCAGCTGTGCAAGTGGTCCCTGTGGATACTTGTCAACAGGCTTGTCACATCTCTCAAGAAAACTCTTCAAACCCTCTTCTCCATTCTGGAAGAAGACGGGAGATGCGATAAAACACTCAGTGTCCATGAACACACGCCAAACGTGCCCTACTTTGCAGAACCTGGAAAATTCCGGCAGCGAGCCGTGGCGCAGAATTGTTTTGTGTTTTGAAATATGCCGAGACGGGCTTGGACCTTCAAACTGCTAGTTCCTAGTTCAACTCGGGCTCTCCTTGGCTTAGCAAGGCGAGTTCTGTTCAGGATGCCGGGAGTGGGCTTCATAAAGGCAGGTTGCACCTGGGCTCAGGGCGAGGGGTCCAACATGCAACGTGCATGAGGGGGATACCGCACTTTCACAGTCGAGCTTCTGAATCCGGAGCATGCACGCCTGCCGCACTAGCCGCCGACGCCCAAGGCTTCTTGAAACCATCGCTCTCCCAACAGATCCTGGGCAGGGGCGGAGGGCCGCGGCCAGCGGCCCGCGACGGCGGCCAAGTGGAAGTCTACGAGTCTACCATTTTACCAGAAATTGTCATAAACGCGTGAATGGCAATGAAGGACACGGAAGGCTATACTAAAAGCTGCTAGTACAAGACACCTCGGCTGTGGGGCGCAGCTGTGGCTCCATCTGCATGCATCGCTGGAGGACGTCTCTTCCAGGAATTGAAATCTCTTTCCAGCAGGCATCCTGGCAGGTGACTGGCTTCGTGGCGACGGCTTCCTTGAAGGCATCCGCGTTTTTGAAGTCTGCAGCCCGTTTTGGAAGCTGGCCAGTGATCAGAAGGTGCAGGCAAAGTCCTGCCGACCAAATGTCGCCAGCTTTTCCTGCCACACTGGAACTTTCCCATATACTCCGGGCGGTCACGTCTCGGAAGAGTTCTGGCGGCCAATACTCCTGAGTCCCGGTCACTGTGAGGGAATCCCCTTCAAGCAGCCTTCCCGCCACATTGAAGTCAATCAGTCGCAGGTCATCGAAGTTTGCACTTACCAGCCTCAGTGCCGCACTGAAAAAGCAAGCACGTGAGAACCCAAACACAGCTCGAGCGAGCAGACAGCTATCTCCTCCAAGGAACACATTGTCGCCCTTGATGTCCCTGTGGATGATATGTCGGGCATGGAGGTACTCCACGGCGCTAACCAGCATCTGGAAGATACGGCGTGCTCTCCCTTCCGTGAGAAGTCCGGTCTTTACACTAGATGTTCGAACTGCCCTGGTCAAAGTCTCGCCATGGAAGTACTCCAAGACGATGACCGCTTGTCCACACTCAGAGAGGTAGTCGAGTGCCTTGATGATATACGGGTGGTTGAGAGAGGTCAAGGTCTCATACTCTCTTTTGACAATCTGCCCCATCTCCTCAAAAGCACGCGATCTCATAAGAGGCGCCTTGAGGACAACATGGCATGTCAAGACCGTGCCTCGTCATCCACTCGCAGCATCTTCAAGGCCACCTCCTTTCCGTCGGATTTCCGCCTGCCCTTGTGCACGACGCCCATGCACCCTTGCCCGACCGATTCCTGGACATCGTAGAGGTCCCTGGATTCAGGTGTGCAGCGTGATGTACTTTACAGTTCATTTCGCTGGTGGACTGGGCAACGGCTCGCTTGAACTAGCTAGCTGGCCTATCAAAGCCAGAAGGATACTCTGGCATCTTGCATGTGTGGCAGCTGGCAATGGAGGAGTTATAACGACCCCCACAAGTCCCTGTAGGCGGGCCTGAGAGAGGCATTCAACGCCATCTCTTGTCGCTCCATCTCCAGCTTCGACCTGGTGTGTTCAAGCACGAGCTTGTTGGCCATTCGACGCCGCCACTGCAAGCCCTGCAGGGCAAAGGATGTCGTCTATATCGTCTATCCCAGTCTATGCTACGAGTACAGATAGTGTTCACGAGGGAGATGAGAGACATGTCAGTCATATGAGGTGTTGAGATCTTGCATGTAGTACTCACACACACACACACACACACGCACCGATGCCTCTTTAAGGCCCTGCCCCTCCAGATTTGCTCGTAACTACTTGTCTCGTCGCTCCGACAGCAACAGGATTATGCGAATGCGGGTAGCCCTGGCGATTTGCGAGCCTTCTGCTGCTTGGGTTTGAGGTCTGCCAGAGGCTGCGCAGGACCCGGAGGGGGCTCCGTGACGGCACGAGCCCAGCCTGTTGGCGAATCGAATATCGCTGCCTTCTGATGGTCGGCGAGCGCCCGTACCAACTGTTGTCTTTCTTTCAGTTTGCGGTTTGACTCTTACACAACGAAGGGAAAAATGGTGATGGATTGAATTCCGGGCACATCCCAGCAGTCATCTGACATGACGGCCTCCATCCTCAAGTCTTCTTCCATGGCGAGGGGCAAAGCACCGTCGCGGCCTATGTTTTGTCCGAGTATATGCTAGTAGTAACTCATTGACATAGATAAGATGATGATCATTTGTATGGTGCCTGATCTTCTGATACCTTCTGATGGCCTATACTGAGCCACAGCCGGAGACGTGCCAGAGTCGACACAGACACAACGTACCACCCACAGGTTCAGTCGCTCAAAGGAGCTGGATGGATCCTCAAGGTCACAAGTCCAGCAACGATCGGCCTGAGTGGCTGCACTTGGCAGTGGCTGTTGTTCCACTCGCAGAGGGCCTGCCGAGGAGGCTGAAACAGCAGGTTAGCCGCTAGCCGCTGGGCCACAGAGGCAGAGCTTCCCTCGCCTGCCAGGGGCCCTCTTCCACCCCAGCAGGAAGGCCTCGAGCTCACAAGCAAGGGCAGCGGGCGAAGCCGTCCAGGCTCCAGGCCCCCCCCCCCCCACGCCCTGAAATGGGATCTCTTGGCTTGCAAGCCACGGCAAACAGCAGAAGCATGATTCCTCCCCTTTACGCGCTTCATGCCGGCATGGCCCCTTAACATGGGATCCCGAGGTTTAAGGCTTTGGACTTATGCTAAGGTTTGAACCCAGGAGAACTGTACCCGACACACAGTGTGTGGAACTGAGAAGAAACTTAATTCTACGCCTAGCGCAGAGATGGAACCTAGTGACTGGTCTATGCCGTTTTCGTGAGTAATCAAGCTCATATCGCACCCAATTATGACTGTGCCCTGTACTTGGAGTCCAGCGAATCTGACGATTGTCTGAGCTCTCCCACTCCTGCGGCAAGCGACATAAGCAGGTAAGCACGGCAGTTCTCTCCTCCATCACTAGGAAGTCTCTTCTTGAGGTACTGGCGGCCGAATTCCCCTTCATGATCGCCAACTTGAACTGGATAGTGCCTCGGATCTCTCACGTGCTCCACCTGAGAACCCTTCATTCCCAGCCTGTCAAGGAAGGGAAGCAGCGACAACTCAGGTTCCTACCAACGTCACAGCTCTTCATATGCACCGTCCCCATCCATCTCGGGAACCTAGGAAAAGGGACAAAAGTGATGCGAGAAGTCGCGCCTGACGCTTTGCTTGCTCTCGGTTCCTGACACCTCCCCCGAAGTACACAGCTTCACGCCTGGCGCACGAGAAGGGACGGAACAAGAACCCTTTGCGGCCATGGAATGAAACGGAGCCAGGGTGACCCTTGAAGACGTCCCAGTTCCCCAGCCTATCGCAACAACAAGCAGGGCAAACTGACCCACAGCTGGCGAATTGCGCGTGAGAGCGATGGGCTAGGATGAAAGCATTCTAGTCTGCAGTCGACTGGGCTGGTCATAGACGATTCGGATAGACACACACACACATACGTACGTACATACCTACATACATATACATGTGCATATGCACAGATGCACATGTATGGAAATGAATAACTAGGCTCTATGCAACACAATACAATTCAAGTCCCGCGTTGTTAAGTACCGGACGAAGCTCGCCTCCAAGGGAGCTTTCGTGATCTACATGCTCGATGCAGCAAAGAGACTCATCGCAGGAACCCACTGCAACCACCACATCTCCGACTCCGGTTATGCCACAAACCTTACAGGATGCAGAGTGTTGAGCGGCAAGGACCTTCTCCATGCTGAGGTCCAGACCACATCAAAATGCAGTTCATCGTCGAAACCTTGTGAGCGCTGCGTCACAAACCCTAAACGCACCGTCACACCACCCTGAGCAGCTCAGCCTTAGTCTCCGGCCGCCGGAGGCATTTCCCGCCTTGACTTTGGGCGTCACGGGAACTGGCACTGCCTGCACAGCATCAGACGTGACGCTGTGTATGCAACTGATTGTGGGGTCTAGGGCTGCAGCGTACTCGGCCGCACCATCGTCAGAAAAACTCGTCTTCCTGCTCCTTCCACTAGCAATCCTCGATATCCAAAACCGACGTTACATAAAGGCGGTGCCCCGAAGGACACGGTGCGCGGTGCGCTCTAGGCCCTCTGAGCTTCACACCGTGGGCCGGTGCCGTCGACAACCCCAAACCGGGGCGTGTGCAGCCTTGAAAATCGACGACTCCAGCTCGCCAGCTCTCTTGTGAAAAAGCCGAGTCGAGACTTTGAGGATTTGGCTCAGCCGGTCCCGTAGTCGTGTAGATCTCCCCGTGAGCGTTGAAGCCAAAGAAACGATTCACACCTGAGAAGGGTGTTTCTTGAAGGCTCTCTTGAGGCCCCAAGCCTAGGGCCGCGACCATCTTCCCAAACCGCTCTCTTTTCTCGGGCATCGTAAATCACAAATTTGTACTCCTCAGCTCAACATCATTGAAATGCGAGGATACCAAGTCATGACACGCGAGAGGCCATGGGCATCTGAAAATGCGAGCAAGTTTCCGTGTTGCATTCCTGCACAGGTACTGATGCAAACCAGCCTATTGAAAGGAAAGGAAATCTAAGGCTTCGCAGTACGGTCACGCCTGGCAATCAAGGGTTCCCGACCATTTCGGATATTCGTGAGCCTGTGCTGCAGCTTTCTTGGCTGAAGCATCGCCAAAGCTCATCACCAGGCCCCACGAGTTCACCAAGCCTAGGGATACCCGCGATTTTCTGGGGTGCAGGCCCAAGCCGCAGAAGCAAATCATGGACTCAGAAAAATGGGAGGTTTATCGAGAGGTCTCCTGGACACACTCAGCCGAACTTACTATCCGAAATAGATTGGCGACCTCAGCTCTGACAAACCTCCGGATGAAAAGGTGGGTGAGCAAACAAGAGCAGTGGAGATAGCAGCAATGCGCCGCGACCCCACGGCTTCTCAAGGGACCACGCTTGCCTGCTTTGGGCTGCATGCTCTCCTGCCTTTGTACAGAACCGCTTGCTTCATCCCTGCGCCATGGACATGGGCTGGGAAGCCTCATGTGACAGCTTGCAAGCTTAGGGGTCAGGCGGACTGAAGCGCGACTGGACCTCGCTGCGACTAAGGCACCAAATTCACCGAGTCCTGTAGATCAGGAGTCAAGGCCATTGCAGAAGATGCATCTATGGCACAAACGAGTGTACAGACAATGCTAGTGTGGCAATCCATCTTTCTCCGGAGGACTGACATACAAAACCTAGGAAGACAAGTCCCACATTCGCCCGTCAGGAGGTCGAAACTGAAGTTGGTTGGCTATCTGGAAGCTGTGCAGTAGGGCAGCTTTGCGTGTCCGGTTTTACGGTTCTGTCGGTTGTTGCCGTCACCTAGACGTAGAACTTATTTCCTGCAGTCTGCAGTCAGTCGATCCTCGTAGTCTTTGGGACTCATGATCCGCCACTGACCTTCGCCACGCAGCTCCTTGGCTCAGATTGGCACGTATACTCGGACGATGCTGGCCTATCCCAAGTCAGGTTGCTGAGGTTACCTCTCCACTTCTCCAAGGCTCCAGAATCAGATCGTGATACTCAACCAGGCTCGGTCTGTGACCCACTGACACATATCCTGCAAGAACATGGTGTGGTGTGAGCGCCTTCGGCAAGAGAAGCCGGAAAACTGGCGCGATCCGCCTATGCCACGGTCTTCCAGAGACTTGTAGAGGTTTCTCTCGTCTGGAACCGGGAGTGCAGAAGTCGCTTCGTCTAAGACCACCATCCTGATCGGAGAGTTATGTTTTGCAGCGGGCTGCGGCAGAGTCATGCGAGTCAGGTGGTTACCACCCTCTATGTGTTGGCGGTGCCTCGGCTGCGCAATGAGGCAGCGCGCTGCTGCCAGTCGCTGCTGCTCCCCGAGCGAAAGCACACGTGTCCAGTCCACCACCTTTTCGCATGGCGAAAAGGTTCAGTGCTGAAGGCAATGCCTGCAAAAAGGGCTGCCAGACCGCTACAGCGTATGTCGTGGTCCAAGGGGCAGTTTCAAATCCCTGCTCAAACCTATCGGGTAGATCTCCAAGACCGAATCTGCCTTGGGGTAGCAGTAAAACTTATTTCGCAAAGATCACGAGGACGCGGACTCAGCAGAAGCCCTGGCCGCCTTTGCTTGTCCGAGCGGCCCAGAACCTCCCGAAGGAGCCCGTCCTCCACCGCCTGAGCAAGCGGATCGTTTTCTTTTCAGGCGTATGTGGGCATCCATGGACTGACCTCTCACCGGGCGAGCGGCGACTTCTCCAGGCTCAGAAGGATAGAGCAGCTGCGAGCGCAAATCTCCCAGAGGCCTGGGGAAGGCGACCACATCTTCAGCAACTTCCAACACGCTCACACGTCCAAAATAAGGAATCTCTCAATAACTGCTATCCAAGGCTCATATATGGCTTCTGGGGGAGGAAGAACATTTCGGACATCTGAGGCCGACGAATGCTACCCTGGCCTCCGAACGAAACATTTGTGGGGCTTGCACAATCGTTCACTCTCTTGGTTCGCAGGAAGCCTTGCGTCCAGAGCCCGGCAATGGCCCGAAGAATGCTGCTTTTGCCGACACCGCTGCTGCCTGGCATGGTGAACCGACATGCATCGACATGTCATAATGCCATGAAGCTTCAGCATCTTGGGCACGTCTCGAAGCACCGGCGAGCACCAAACTAAATAAAACAGGAATAGGGATGCTCAACCGGGCAAGAGTCCAACGACCAAGAGCCGGCTGGGCAGCTCCATGGATCCAGCGGCTGTTGGCATGCTCAGAGTTATGCTGACATCCTTCACCAGCGTTCCTGGCTCCGTCACGTTCGGACATGTGCTGGCAGGCATCCTAGGTTGATTGCATCTAACCTGTTGAATCCATTGCAAGTCTCTGCCAGTTGGCGTCCAAATGGTCAACTTCTCCAAAGAGATCTGCTCGTTGTCGCTATTATGAGTGTGAGTTGCAATCCTGCAGAACAGTCCAAATACTCTGCAGCAAACATGGCTCAACCGAGTTACTTCAAGTTGTGGAAGCTTCAGAGTTGAGGTGAGTGCTGGATGGCTTTCTTCCACCACCATTTAACCTCTCGGTGCTTGGGTCCCAAGACTGCACAGGGTCCTTTCATCTCCAGACGATTCCAGGAACTCCTTGCGGGACAAGGTGATGGCCTCGTAGAACATGCCCAACCGGTTCACACCCGCAGAGAACCGGCTGATGTCCTGCCAGGCGTCACTCGGTACAAACATACATCTGAGATCTCTGGTCACAGCAGCAACACTTGCTTCTCCTGAATTCGGTTCACGATGATGGTAACCGAACCTGAGCTCAAAACACGGATGCCAGAGGAGCCCTGCAAATCCAAGAGCTCCACCATTCTCAAACGGAGCTGTGCTGAAGTCTGTGGAGACAGGTACATGGCTTGATGCGTGCCCGAAACAAAGACTTGATTGCAGGCAAAACTCTCAGGACCATGGAGAATGCAAAGGACACTTGTCCGAAAGTGCCGAAATCCACCTTGCCAGCAAAGTAAAGGCCACCCACGACGAAGTACGGAACCAGCCGGGCAACCTGGCACGAAGGAGCATGGCACGTATCACACGCAAGTCGCGCATGAGTGCATCAGTCGGCGTTGCTCTGTTGTGCGGCTGGCAAGATTCGTGCAGCCTGGTCACATAGAAGAAGACCTTCTGGTAGAAGGTCAAGCCTGTCGTCCACTTGATGACTTTGTCGTAGTTCTGAATAGCTGCTCTCAGCTTGTCCTGACCGAAAAGCACCCTGTCCTCCCAAAGCTGCAAGGCTTAGGCATTGGCTCCTTGACAACGTCGCTCTCCTTCTGTTCGCCCTGATAGAAGGCTATGGCTTCGGCATTGTCGCGCACATGGACCAGAGAATAGCGGAAGTCCGCTTGTAGCTGCAGCTGCTTGTAGTTGATTCCGATAAGCGTGCTGCCGACAGACAGAGCGATCCTTCCACTGAAAAACACTACTGTCAGCCCTACGGGCCGTAAGTTGGGGTAGCCGCTTGGAAAACTGCAAGTTTCTTTGTCTCCGAGCGACCCTGTTCCAAGGACGGCATACACAACCAGCGCATAGGTCAACTCTTCTGAGGTTGTCCAGAGGATTGCTGCGAACGAGAGGAGGTTGGAAAATGATCCCAGGATGTCGAGAAGGAAACCCAGCGTCTCACTCGTGAAGGCATCCTTGCAGCATGAACCACCCCTGGCCAACTGCCTTGCCTAAAAGGTCTCCCCTTGTAAGGTGCAGCCAAGTCTCTATGTCTTCTGAGATACGCTGATCTGGATTATCGATCTTGGTACCGGTGGAGTTGGAGTCTAGCAGATAGTAGGCCCTGTGAGCAAAGTATTCATCCAGGATCATGACGCTCAAGTTTTGACGCCAGGCATTCGCCAGGCTCAGGCGCACGAAACGGTAGAAGGCGATCGTGGGAACAGCCACCACTAGAACCACAACAAAGAGTTGCATCTGCGTGTAGAAGGCAGACTCGTTCTTGGCCACGAGCACATTGTCCAGAGATCGAAACACGAAGCTGACAACAACGTTGATGCCCGTGACGCAGAGGAGCAGGAAGATCAAAAGCGCCAGTAGGCCCCACTGCTTCCACCGATCAGCGAGCTCTTCTCGACGACTGAGGAATAAAGCGCTGGAAGCTGTGATCCCCGCAGCCGCGGCCCCTATGTAGGGCGGAATCGCCAGTTCAGTCAGCTTGGCTGCCACACCTGCAAAGAGCATCTGAGCATCTGCAACAGTTCACAGCCACAGCCAACAGTTCAGAGACTCCAGCCTGGAGCTGGTGCGAGAGCGGCCAAGAAGGGGATGTTGCTGACAACGGCCAGCAAGCCCAAGAACAGCAGAAATGCAGCCGACACCACTCCCACCACCATGGCCGCAAGCAGCATGCCGAACCCCCCTTCTGGGGCAAAGTATGGCTCCTCGGTCGAGGCCCCCTCTTAGACTCAACTTACTGCACGGCAACACCAAACAAGCAGCTGGATATTGCAAGCAAGTCTCAGCAATCTCTGCGAAGCGCTTTCCCAGGGTGGCATCGAAGCCGAAGCTGACACCCTCCTTTGGGTCATGGTTCTCGCTTTTGGTGAACTGTCTTGGCGTCCGTCGACGATGTCGGCTAATGCGTGACGCCACCCATGTGGCCAGAAGACCGGTGGGGACGGCCAGACCACCATGATGCTCGGAAGTCTCCCTCGGTAGCACTTGCGAAAGGCAGAGAGAGAACTGCTTCACGAAGTTTGATGGGGCCGGTGGTCTTCTGGATGGATAAGACATTACGAAACGAGGTCTGATTGTCGAAGATAACCGCAGTCAATGTACAAAGATTTTGTCAGGGCTTAGTCCCAATTTCAGGATTCAGGATTTTCTCATACTCTCACTTTCGCTCTGAGGGTTTCTCAACAGAGATAGCTATCTTGACAGCAGGATGTCTGATACTCAATGTCATGCAGACTGTAGCGTATCGAACGGACAGCCCAACACCGAAGAACCGAAACACAATGCCCAAGGCGGACACCTTGGCCACGTTCTCTGAAGCGCAGACCCCACCAGGGCATGTGGAGTCGGGCTCAGAGGGCTGCGTGCGATTGCGCCCGCCGTGGGGACGGCCGTGGCCGTCGCGGCCATGGCTGCCATGGCCGGGAAAGGTTGGAATGAAGAACTGACGGGCAGCAGAAAGCAGAAAAACTCTTCCGAAATTCCTGGTGAGCTCACGTGATTTGCGGAGCGTTTTTTGTGGGAAGCTGCTGAGCCAGCTGGTCCGAAATTATGATGGCCGTAGGGCCGTAGAGACATGGACGCACAGCTAGCACGGCGTACGGGGGAGCTGCCTCCGTCTTTAGCGAGGGAGCCGAAGCCGGGTTCCAGTTGCCGAGCCTGGCAAAGTCATGATGCGCCTGATGCGCCACGCTGCGGCGCTGCTGTCTGAATAAGCTACAACAGGCCAGCAGAACTCCTTTGTGGAGCCAACCACGCGAATCTCTTGTCCGAAGGAAGTCTCTGCTCGGCAGTTGAACGCCTCAGATGTCTCGGTCTTGCGTGCTGTCCTCACAGAGATCTCCAAGTGCGAGCCGTGCCACCAACAAAACCAATTTGCTGTCGCCCATTGCAAGCCTTTCAGACAGCTCTGCTCAAACCCGGGCTTGAACACTTGCTGCGACCGAGGACTGAGGCCAGCACCGGAAAAAAACACAACTTTCGCGAGAAAGTTGGACGAAAAAGAACACTTGGAGGACGCCGGAAATGTCAAAGCCACATTGGAAGCTTTGGGCCAAGAGAGAGCCGCAAGGGCACACACAAGTCTTGTAACAGCAAACTCAATCTACCCCCACGTGGCGAAGCTGCTGGCTGGATTGAGCGTGGCATATCTTCGAACCGGAAAGCGCCTCATCATCTCCATCGCACTTCATTTGGTGAAACTCAACTTGAAAACTTTAGCAGGTGTCTTCCGTGATGCCCTTTTCTCTGACACTCACGATATTCACTCCCAAGCTCCTGGCTGGAGGCCAAGAGATGTCAAGAGCAAAGAGGCACGCTCTCCGGCGACTTCGGGCACTTCGCGCGCCTGTATCTCTCTTGCAAACCTTTGCTCTGAACCAGGTCCTCACACAGCACAGCAACAGGCCCTTCTGATCCTTCTGCATCAGACCAACTCCAGGATCCGAGAAAACAACTCGAACAGTCTGCCTTCTTGCGCTTCTCAGCCAGCTTTTGCCTCTGCAGCCTGTTGCCCAAAGGTCGGGACTCTGCGGGGACCCGAAAGATCGGCTAGGTATCCATATTGGTATGCTAGATGGCCGTGCGCACCTGTCTGCCCGCTGTTGCTCCACCTGTGGAGGATGGCGCGGCAAAGGCAAAGGGTTTGCACAAATCGCTTGTTTGCGCCTTCTGCTTGTGCTTGGAGAACTCTTCCTGGATTGGCAAAATAACGCCAGTCAGACTGCTAAACTAGGCACATCTTGACACTTTAGACTGACCTGCTCCTTGTTTTTGAATCAGTTGCTGGGCCGATGACCTGCCGCTCTATGTCCGAGTCGCAGCTGCGGTGGGAAAGGTTTCCGCGCTGCTGCTCCTCTTGACAACAAAGATTAGGGCGCAAAATGAGATCATTCGTCGTTTGCTTTGTGATCTGATTATGATTCTAGCTACTGCGGCACTTTGGGGGTACTTAGAAACTGGATCCGGCTCATCCTCTTCATGCCTGCTACAGGAGACAGGACAAGGACTCCTCGGCGAGAAGCACCTGATTGGAAGAGTCGACCTGACAGTAGCCACCGCTTGCGCACGGAGCTGTGGCCAGGCCAGGGTCCTAGAGGCCAAGGCCATGTAGGTGAACTCCTTCAGTGGCGCATCCTCAGCGTCTCTGGTGGGGAATGGTGTTGCTGCGACAAGCTCCGCAATCTGGGCCCCTTGCAGGATCCAGTTCCTGCCCCGCAGAGCCATCCATCAAGAAACTCGTGAACAGGCACACTATATCGTGCTGGAACCCTTCCTGATCCCAGCACTCGAAAACACTGCTGTTGTCCGATGGATGCTGCATGGTCTGCTCGCAGCCTGCCGTTCTGTGGCTGCTATGGGCGTTGCGACGGCGGCGGGGTCAGAGTAGGAGCCAGGCACTTCGCGAGTCCCGGCGCATCGCTTAGCGATGGCATCGAAGGCAGCGAAGAGACCGGCCTTGGCGGCTCAGCTGCAATGCCTAGGCCTCCGGACTTTCCTTCAAGGATCCGGGTAAGCTCAAGGTAGGTGTGTGTGCGAAAAAAGTGCAACAAGCTTTGGAAAGTGCTGTGGCGCATCCTGCAACTTCTGCAAGTCGCGACTGCTTTCTGCCGCACACACTTAGCTCCGAGCACGGACTTGAAAATGTCAACATGCTGACAGTCTGTTATCCTGCAGGCAGAAACAGCAGAGTTAGTAAGCACGTAGCGCCGTGCATGACAGAGGTGGCTGCTACCTGCAACGGGGTGCTTCCGCACACGGCGTGGCACCCATAGATGCGAGCAGCGCGTTTGAAAACGTCTCAGATTAATTAATTGGGTGCATGGAGGTTGTTCTTGTGATGCAGCATCGTGCTGAGGGAAGTCTGGTAAAATGTGATAGAATGAAGGCGCATGCACCAACCCGACAAGATTTGACTTTACATTTGCTCAACGGAGCTTCATTATTGCTGCGCTTGAGCTGCTCGTGACTGCATGCAGTCTCAATGCCTGCTCAAATGCAAAGCAGCCCTATGTGATCACGTAAAAGCACTCAGCTGCCGTAACGGAGCACGCTTTTTCATTAAGCATTGTGAAACACGGATCGAAGACGGCGGATGCTTCGCACCCGTCGTGGTTGTTGTCACGGAGCCCTGTCAACGTAACCACCTGTCAGTTCTCGGAGAAGAGTCAAACACTCACTAACGTCCTATTCGAGAAGCGCCGTGCGACAGGGTTCACCTACGTGAAATCCAGCCTGACACTGCAGGGCTCAGATGCAACCCATGGATGCCATGTGTTCCGCTTAGAAGCATCTCGTGTCTGGTCCGGTTGTGCCGCTCCACATGCGGAACGACTACTGTAGCAGCTTCGCAGCATGCAGATGGATGGGTGAAACTTTGTGTTGTCTCCGGACTATTCACACTGGCTCGCAACAGCAGTGCAGTAGAGTGTATTGTTTCCGAGACAGCACCAACGCCAATTGTGCTCGATCCTCAGGCAGCAGTTTTCCACCCAGAACCAAGGCCTCGCTACAAATGCCCTCACTCCTGCACCCGCTTCCGAAAATCTCGAAGCTCCTGCAGGGACTGGGTTTCCTGCTGTCCTACGGCAAAGACCCGAATCCTAGCTTGCGCAGCTGTCTGATGTAGTCCCGTCCTTGATGAGGGGGATGACATTTTTGCCCTCCGCGGAATAGTCCCGGATGATTTTCTGGGTGGGCGATGGAAGAGTTGCTTGAGTTCTTGCAAGAGATGCAACCACAGCAACAAGGCAACAAAACGAAAGCATCGTGGCCTCTGCATAGGCATGAAACTCGAGCGTGTCTGCCTTGCAAGACGGACGACACCATGTTCAGTCAGTGTCGTTTTACAAAAGCTGCTGTTGGCACCAACAACCTCCATGATCAAGCGCCACAGCCACTCAACATGACAAGGTGGAGCAGTATAGCAGAACTCCCGGTAGCCAAACCTCCCAAAAACCAAACATACTCTGACGGCATGCATGTGGCGGCAGGCGTATGACCGCGCACCGTTCCCTGCGAGCACTGATCCCTGGTCTAGCGCATCGTTTGACTAGAGGCCCTGCTTGGCAAGCTCCGGTAGCACTGCAAAGACCCCACGATATCCGGTCCTTCCACCTATTGCCCAGCAGAGCAGGCAATGAGCGGCGTCGAGGTGGCCCCTCTTATGGACCAACACTATCGAACGCATGCCGCAAGGACATTTGCTAGTACCCACCGATCCAAGTGGAAGTGCTGGCATGGTTGGCTATAGACTGCCCTAAAGCCTGACGACCGGGAGGTCTGCAGCTCCGCGAGTTTGCTCGGATTATGGGCTGGGGCGACTGGGCTGGGCCCCGGGACCACCCGGGCTTCCATGTGGGGCTGGAAGGCGTTGTGCTACAATGGTAGCATCGGCGGGCGCCGCAAAACATGGTAAGCAGCAAGACAAGGAGCGCGAGAGCCCACGACTAAGCACGACCCTGCAAACTCGACACAACTGGTTTGGCTGGAGGTCTAGGCCAGCAAGCCGTGTGAAAACGCTGAGACCGCAACCTCCATGACCTTGTTGGCATGCTCCGCCACACCTTTGTCAGAGTGTTTCTCCTGGCCCGTGCACTCATGGCAGACATGATGCAGCAGCAAACAGAGGCTTTGCACGGTCCTCGAATTTCTTCCGCCGCGATATCTCAACCTGGGAACGCAAGCCAGATGCTGCTCTCAGAGGAAGGCCGAGCGTGGCGATTCTTTCTCGGAACTACACGATTCGTACAATATGCTCGGAGCTGACGAACCTAAGCGAGTGTCGCACGGTAACTCGGGGCAGGGCCTGCTTCAGGTGCTCCTGAACGCTACTGGACTCTCAGCTTTCAGATCCACGTCGCGATGCACAGAGCGGAAAGCAGGGGGTGCGTTTACCGTCCTGAGCCAGCTTGCGGGCTGCTGCATCCTTGAGGATATTCTCCTCCTGCTCCTTCGGACGATGGCACGGCCAGCCCGTGCTACTCGTGGAAAGCCAGAGAGAGGGTCCTGCTTGTCGAGCACCTTGCACCACTCCGACAAGAACTTGGCAGTCTCGGCATCTTCGGCCTTTTCCTGTGCCAGAACACCCGGACCAGGTTCGGAACGACCCGACTCGACGCCAGCCGCCAGCGAACTACACTTCGGCCGAGCTGCTCGAGCGCGCGTGTTCTGCTTGCGCTCGATCTGCGCCTGGGAAAACTGCGCTTCCACGGCACCACCGGAGAGCAGACATGCCATCGGCTTTGCTCGATAAAGCTCTTCTATACTCTTCCGAAATGTTCAGGTTCCAGCCTGCCGGCTGTTTTGAATGTCTTCCCCCCACCTGAGGACAGCTCGAGGTATTCTCGTGACAAAGATCTCAGGCACTTGACCGTTTCCTCTCCCTCCCCCAACCCCTGCCTTCTCATCATCTCTAGCTTATCGAGCCGCTTCTTCTCATCCGCAGCCTCACAAATGGCCAGGCTCGGAAAGAGTACGGGGACAAGGAGCTTCGGTGACCCGTATAGAGCGGGGCACAGCCTCCTTCTGCTTGACCTGCCCTTCCACCCGGGCATCTTCGCTGTTCTGCATCTCAGCCAACCGCTTGGCCTCTTCCAAAGTAGGGCGCCCGCCACTACTCACTAGACTTCCTAATCCATTCTTGTCAACAGCACGGAATCCTGGATTTCAGATTCGAGATGGAGGCTGGAGCTCTTGCACACCCAGGAAGATGTGCAAGAAGCAGACTCTCACTTCTGGGAGTCTGCGTTGATTGCAGGTTTGGGGCCACGGTTGTGTCAAAAGGCCTGTGCATCGATCATGGCATTCCGCGCGGCCTGCACAACGGCGCAGAGACATGACGACAGACCGCTGTCCGCTTCAATCGTGTCTGCTTTGGCTAGCCTGCTTCTGCTGAAACACCTCTTCTTCCTTCTGCTTCCGAAGCTGCAGCATCTTTTCCTTGCGCGCTGCATACTCCTGGCGACCAAGGATAGATCGGCACCACAGACAAAATCCTTCGCATTAATTCGCCAGTTCCCCAAGGTGTCAGCAATCATCACCTCTCTGAGGAGGAACGCTTCCCTCCTGTCCTGTATCTTCTCTTCCTCCTTCTGCTGACGGAGCATGTCTTCTGCCTCCATCAAGCGTTGTCTTGTCCACTCGCTTGTGTCAACCACCAATTACATGGTTCCGCGGTTTACTCCGAGGAAGCAGTCGGGGCCTTGATCTGCTTGAGGTACACATTCGCTTTCTGCGTCTCCTTCTGGGCCTCGCATGCATACCAGCAAGAGTTTGCGATCGTTGCAGAACTTGGCGAGATCTCACTGTTCGCCTTGATCGCCATCTCGCGGCGTTTCTTCTCAGCTGCACGCTCGGCCTCCAAATCCTTAGCGCACATTGGTGATTCGAACTTTTGGAGCAGCGTAGGCTGGATCGGAGCGGCACCTCGATGGCCTTGCGGCGTAGCAGCTCTCCTTCGAGCATGGCATCCTCGACCTGCGACAGGGGAGGTCTTTGCAGAATGGAGGCTCTACCTGCTACCTGACTCTACGAGTACCCGAGGTCCGAGGTTGCCGAGAACTTTGGGCCTCCTGGAAGCGCTTCTCCTTGTACTCAGCAAGCTGCTCCTCCAAGGCTCCAAGGTACAGCCAAATCTGGCCGGACAACACGGTGACCACGGGACTCCGTGAGACCCTGCGGGTGCTCTGCAGTCCTTTTGGGCCTTTGCCGCAATTTTGGAGAGCTCTTCCTTTGTCTCTCGCTCCTCGCACGAAGCGAAGCGTGCTGGAGGCAACGGCCGAAACCGAGTCTCGCTATGGTCTCGCCTTCATCTCGCGCTCCAACATCTTGCGATAGTTCCTGAGAGTCTGCATTTGGGTGGGTTTCGCAGCTCCCACAATCGAACACCCCTTCAACTGCTGATGACCTGCCACTAGAAAGAGACAGCAATGCTAAACGAGTCCCTTGTTGCAGCTCCGCTGCTGCTTCTCCATCTCGAGAAAGCGATCGTCGCGAATCTGCTCGAGCCTTTCCAGTCGCACACTGGCCCCCGAGAAGTCAGGATTTAGGGCTTAGGGTTGTGAGCTCGCGGGGTTTTGGAGTATGATGCCCAGCTACCCACCAGCCCCAGTCACCATGGACAGCGCAGCCCAAGATGCTTACCCCAATACCGTACTCGACATATTCCTTCCCAAGATCTGTCCTAAGACCCCAACCCAGGCATCCACCCATCAAAAAGATCTTTATCCCAGCTCCTACTAGCCATCGAAGCGCAACATACACAAAACCGGCAATGGGCTACCAATCGAACCTAGGTTTATTCTTGTGGCAACTCCCTGGTCTGATCTTACTCTGATACGAATCTAGTCTAAAGTGTTTTGCAGATGGGGGGAACCGAAAGCTGAATGAGAAGATGCAGGGGTAGAGGCTGCAACGTGGGTACACAGAGCTGCGCCCCGGAACAATGCTTCCTTGTTGGGGCTTTTCAAGGATCCTCTTTGCCTCAAACGTGGCGCTGCTCCACGCGGTTCCAAGAGGAGCTTTTTGACCGGGGCGTGGCTTTGGGGATCGGTCAGGCATTCCCATATGATGGTCTGGAAAAATGTGGTTTCGATGACGGCCACTGGCTCGTAGTTCCCGCTGTATTCACGCATTTTAGCCGTAGCATTCGGCTATTCATCATACACCCCCAACCATCGAAGTTCACTCTATCCAAAAGATGGCGACGGGCAAGGGGGCCAAGTCGCAAACACACTAGTACTGGAACTGCTGCAATACCTGAGTCGCACACTTCTTGAGCTCCCCTTTAAGCGAGATCTGCGCCTCAACCAATTCACGGACAGTCTAGGGTGTCCGCTGGTGCGACAGCACTGTGTCTTGCGGCCTCTCTTTCTGCAATGACATCGCAGTGCATCATCTTGCTATGGAAAGACTTCATGCGATCAGACCTGAGCAACGGGGCAGGCAGCAGCCGAAGGTTTTCCCCGGGCAAACCGGATATCAAGTAAGAGCCCAGCTCTTCGTAGAGGAGCTTGTTCGCACCTTGGGAAAAGGCAATTGGGAAATGACGAACCCGCCGAAGTGAGACTGAGGACATCGCGGTCGATAGTCGCTCGCCTTTGATCCAGTTGGATCTTGGCCTCTTCAGCGTCTACCTGCAGTCACCAGAGTTGTGATCAGAACCGACTGAAAGAGTTGCCCGTGCGCCTTTTGTCTTTCTAGTTCTTCCAGCTCTAGCTTCTTCCTGTAGATCACCAGCGAGAGGTGGACAAGTCACACAAGCGTACACATGATGTGCTCTCTGCCTTTTCTCCTCGGCCTTCTTCCGCCGGCTACCTTCCAAGGTGTTGCTCCAAGTCTTTGCCCGAGCCTGCCATGTTTGCACGTCTCAACTTGAAACGCTTTGGAGCAGCTTCTCGCGTCTGGCCTGCGACTTCTCATGGAGCAGCTGCGCCCGCGTCTTGGCAGGCATCCTGGCTCTGGCCAAATACAGGAATCACACAGTGGGACTGCCACGGATCTCAGAGAACAACCCCGAAAGACTGTGCTGCAAGGACTGGGTGGCATCGGTACTCGAATCTGCAGCGACCTGGGGGGTTCTAGAGACACAATCGAGCAACGGAAGACAATAGTAGACCTTCTACCAAATTCAGCCAGTTCAGTGTGTCCAAGTTGCATCGCTTGTCAAGCCAATAGCATTCTTGATGCGGTGCAGCTCAGATGCAGTGATGACCTGAAGTCACATACACGCACATGCGTGCACCATACACCGGTCCATCATAATGGTGATTAAAGCCCTCATGCAAACGCAACTTAAGAACAATCATACCGCACTTGATCAAGAACTGCTGACACGAGAACGACCGATAACGAGTGCAACGCTTCCTTCACCAAGTGACATGGAAGTTGCCGAATAGATTTTCAGTTATGTGGTTGAAGATGTGGAATCAGGAACTGCGAAGGCTTCCGAGTAGCATGCAGCAATGCAGTTCGACAGTATTCTGTCATGGAAGGCAACTGACGTTGGCAAGCTTTGCGGGCTTTGGCGTTTGTGAAGGCATGTGGTCAAAAAAAAGATGGCTTCTGGCAAACTGCCACGGTGCAGTCGCATTTATCTTATCGCGGTCGGACCAAGAAGGAGAAGAAGTCTAAGCGTTTTGAGTGCCGGGAACGTGCCCAGATGCGATCACAACTGGCATCCAAGCCGGCCAAATGTGATAGATTCCTAGGAATTTACCGAACCAGCGTTGTACCTCACTATCTGCTCAGAGACAAAGCACTCCAGGCCAGGACACAGCAAGGTAGCTGAGAGGCAGACATATGCCTCCGCCATGCACGCCACCAGCGCAGGGCCGGCCTGGGAGGAGGGTCGCCGTCATGCTCTCATGGGGCTTGTGTGCATGTCCCCCTTCATCTCGCCGCACCTCGCGACCCGTTTGCCGTTCGATGTCCGCCCAGCCCAAAGACGGCTGGGTCTTGAGCCACAACGATGCGGGCACAAGCTAAGCTTAGACAATGCTTGCCTTCGCGATTCAGGTAAGATTCGAACTTATGGAAGCGAGGCCGCAAAGGTGCGGTCACATCCCCACAAAGAGACACACGCACACAAAGACCACGAAAACTGCGGCCGATCTTTTCATGTTCTGCTGACAGCTGTCCTCAGTCTTTCGGCTGTGGTAGCCTAATTTTTCTTCTTCTTCCCACCCTTTTTGGCGTCTTTGCTTGTGTCCTGGCCAAACCACAATGCTGTCGCTGAGAAGTTTACTCTCACATGGGCTCCTGAGCCTTTTTGGGCTTCGGCTCGTCATCGTCGTCTCGCTCTTTGGGTTCGAGCCATGCCACCGGATGCCTGCCGAAGACAGCCCACAGCAGACAGGAAGTATGTACGCTGCCCAGACCTGTTCCACATCGGCCAGGGCGGCAGGCACATGAGGGTCACAAAGAGCGTCGTACCTTTCGAGCTACCATTGGGCATGCAGCTGCCATGTCGTGCCCGAGAGACAGCCAAGCTCAGGAAGCTGCCAAATACCCAGAGAAACGTGTACAAAAACCTCTGCGGCAAACTCGCAGCCGTGCAAGCCATCATGTCCAAAGCAACGACTGTTGAAAATCCCTCTGCCTCTGCGCAAAGAAACCGTGAATGTAACCAATCACACCTGAGTGCATAGCAAGGCCATGCCAGCCGAAACACGATGCAGGGCGAGCCTGATGTCCAAATGAAGTAAAACTGCATGTTAAAGGCCTGGGGACATCTCGCGAGTGCCTTGTGCTGTGCGTCTACTCCTTGTGCGGCTCAGGATTCCAGCCTGTTTCTGGCCTACGAAATCCATGCTGCCCGCTTTCAGCATGGCGTAGAGCTCAAAGACTGAGGTCACGAGCAAAGTTTAAGGAACCTCTCTGGGCATTGTGCATACTGCTGCCTCCCACCATCGTCGCGGCGCTGTGAAACGCCCGAATGAGGCGCTGTCAGCAAAACTCCTACATATCTAGTCTTGAGGCTGTATCATCAGCAACACACGGCAGCAATTGAACACAAGGCAACTCAGCCCCAATTTGCCACTGAAAGCCCGAGTCCAGCTCTAATCATCTGTCACAGTCATGCCCTCGTCGCTGCCCGTTTTGCCCATGTTTCTTGCCGCGGGAGTCGGACGCACCGCCTTGGACATGGGCAGCCCCTTGCAATCGCCACCAGCTCCGCTGGCTGTGGTCTGTGAGTTGCAAGTGCCCGACGTCCTTGTGTGTGTGTGTGTGACACAGACGGAGACGGCGTCCAGGAGCTATCTTCAGCTAGAGCTTACGGGGCCAGTCCAATGCTACAGCCTTCGATGTGTCTCAGAAGGCGGGACAAACACGGACTCTGGATCCATCACTGCCCATGCAGACCACCGGCATCATGTGCATGCTGGCGAGCAAGGGCACACATACATCTGGGTAGCAAAAGAGACTCACCAGCATACCAGCGAAGTCGCGTACAGCACGTGCAGCCCGCGCCTGGATGACAAAGCGATGTCATCGAAAACCGTCTGGCGGGTTCAAAAGATAAATCGAGTCTCGATGTCTTAGCTCACAAATTGTGACCCTGCAGGGCCTCTGCCGGCTCCGAGTTAATGGCAACCGCCAGAGTTCCGAAGGGCAGGTGCAAGCCACGAAGATCCACCTCTCAAAGGGCGGGGGCGCGGCTTGTGGCTTCAAGCAGCTTATGGAGGTATGGAGGGCTAGGGCGGCTCGGCTTTGACGTTGCCTCGACGTGCACAAAGTCGCCTTCCTTCAACATTCGGTCGCCACCTGCGGAGCAGAGAACAGGAGAGAGGAAGCAGCAGAGGTCGAGAAACCGGCCCTGCCGCCCCCGGGCCCCCCGGCACTCTTTTTTTGGGAAGGGGAAACTCGCCGTGCCCCGGCGCCAAGCTCCGCTTTTGCGGCGGCTCTCTGGGCGGGCGGCGTGGTTACGTTCTACATTGCACGGTTTGAAAGCGTGCGAAACTGCGGAACGACGCCCCAACCACGGGGCTGGAAGGCGTTCCAATGCAATGTACAGGAGTTCCCAGGACAGGCCGTCACTTTGGTGCCGGCTTCTGGCTCCGATGGACAGCCCTTCTGGCCCCTCCTCTGCAAATTCCACTGCACAGCTCCGGAAGCATCACTTTGTCGTGACAGCTGCATCCTGCAATGCAAAGCACACTTGGCAGCGCGAAGCGGCATCGCACTCGCTAAACATGATCTCAGGCTCCAGCCGTGTCTGGATTGAAGCTGCTGACAACGCAGTTCCCAGGAAACTCCATGACTATCTGTAAGGACACCTCGAAGGACATCGTGGTCACATGCTTGTGGCATCATGAACGGTGCGGCTTCTTGCTGCCGTACATCTGGCCAAGGCACCGAACCCAGCGGCGGCTTCCCTTTCTCCACTCGCAGAACGTTTGTACCAACCATGACGAAGTCCGCCTCGAAGTTGTTTGCCTTGAGCCACGAGACTGCAGAGCGTTCCGAGAGCGTTACGAGACGCAGCCGAGTCCCAGGCATATCGCACCAGCGCCTGGGCGATGCCCTCATTGATGCCTTGCGGTGCAAAGACCTCAGGCAAAAGGAAAGGGGCGGCAAGCGGCAAGCGCTCCGTGGCGAAAGGGCCGCTAGGCGGCTAGGCTCCGGGCCAGCTTCACAACCCGGTCCTTAAACTTCACCATCTTCCCGCTCGGCCAGGCTGCGGCGTCTTGCATGCCTCCCCAAAAGAAACGAGAGGAAACCCAACAAACCACCTGACGGAGAAACAGCCATGTGCCATGCGCTCCTTCGAAGATGGAGTCGTACTTGTTCCGGATCGCCTGCGTGACTTTGCTCTCCTCCGAGGTTGAAAGAGGCGCAAGGACCGGAAGCTTCGAGGAAATTCGAGGCTTGGTCCTTCGAGTGTGGCTCCAGGTAGGGTCGGATGTAGACCACGTGGATGTGGTCTCCTCTACCACAGCACGGCAGACTACGGGGGACTACGGCGGACTACGGTCCATGCTGGCGTGCAAGTCTGTGCCTGGGCGAGATAGGCGGAGCGCATCTATGAAAGCTTTCGTGGCCGCAGGGTTTAGACCAGTGGACACGACGAACTTCGCCTTGGCGCACGGAACGAACCACAGAGCATCGGCTGATGCAGAGGATGTTGAGCTCCAGTTCAGTGAAGCAGCTGGCCGCTTGAGCGGCAACTTGCTTGGGTCGGCTTCTTTGAACACCTTGCTTGTCGAAACTCTCTGCACCGGAGATTGCTGTTTCCTTCGTATACAGGGCCATAGGGTTCCATCTTGTCAAGAGAACGAGAAATTTACTGGGGAGACAGGGACATCTAGCTGCCGAGCATCGACACAACTGCACTTGCCCCGCTGCATCACCTGTCACGTGAACACGCTTCGCTAGATTTCTACACCATACATCAACCCAAGGCAGCGACCTCCAGGACATTGGAGCCCATGATGTGCCTGTCCTTACCTGTGGAAGCAAACAAACGACAAATGCTCACCTCAGCAAAAGGGGTGTCATACCTGCCTTTGCGTCCCGCGAAGCCCATCACACAGAAGCTCGTGCCCTGGTCCTTGATGTCCTCCGAATTCTGTCTCTTCAGCATTTCACACAACCTACACTGCGTGCCAAGCGACGTAAACCCTTTCAAGAAGAATGTGTATCCGGTCCTGGCAAAGGAGGACGCCAATCTTTACCCCGGGACTTCTTTGACGAACACCTGCAGACAGGCATCGCTGGCGCAAAAAAGGCTGCCACCAAGATGTCTTCCGTAAGCCAAAGCTGCAGCTCAGCAGCTGATAGCGTATCGTTTTGAAACCAAGTAAGAAGTGCACTTGGCTTCTGCATCCTCGGTCACCAACATGTGGGGGGGTCGGATCAGGTTGTGTTCGGAGACTCTTACTGGGCAAGCTGCTGCTTGGATGGCATTTCTCCGCCACTTTGGTGGGAGGTACTCCTGAACTCACGCGCATTCTGCAACAGTGGCGTTAGCAGCGTGTTTTCTTGCCTTCGTGTCGTCATAGTAGTGAACCTTGGAGTGTCTAGGCTCTCGGACTTTGATGCGCAAGATGCAGTCGAGGTTGATAGATTCTCCCACAGGTAGGGCCGTAGGGTCAGGACGATAAGAAGATCTGTTTCGCGGTCGCTTTGTGTGAAGCCATGGAGAACCCATTCGAAAGCGCACGACGACTGGCACAGCTCAGGGAAGCAAGAGCACGGGCACAAGACAGGGCCAAGGAAACTCGCCCTGGGTTCCCAAGTGGGCCTGGTCCGAGCCGTCCACGCTCACCAAGACTCGAATGTGTTGGTGCAGCAGCTGGTCAATCCTTGTCTCAGCGAAATCGCGAATACAAAGTTGCATTGCTTCAAGACTCTGAATTCAGGAAAGCTGCTTCTCACAGTCGATCCATGCAGCGTTCTCCATGGCTTCAGTGCCCGAGGCCATGCTGAGCATCAGTCTTGTCTGCTCATGCTATGACGTGCTCGTTTGGACCATGGCGGATCGAGGCTTTCTTCTGAAGTACCCACGAAGTTTGGTAAGCTTTGGAACTCCGGACCGAGCAGCAATTTCTGCGTGGCGGCTGTCGGACGGAAACTGCAGGTCTGCAGAAAGGGCAAGTTGAAGCACTGGAGGTTGCGGCAATGGCCTGGACGCTCTTGCCAAGGATCCTGCGTGTCTTAGGTCCCATCTGCCCGTCGATCTTATGTAGTTACTTATCTGTTTGCCTGTCTGTGAAAACTGTCTGTGCAGCTATCCTGATGGATGCCACATACGTTTCACGCACACGTAGGAACGAACAAACAAATAGATGAGTCAACAACATGATCAAATGAGCAAGGAAACAACTGAACGAAAGAACAGAGGAAATAACACTGTTCACACAAAGGCAGAAACCCATAAACAAAGAAGCAAGTAAACGCACCCCAAACCAAAAGAAATAACTTTAAACTTAAATGAAACTACCCCCATACATGCGTGCATATTCTGTACAGTTTCTCCCTCGCGCACCTACATACATACATGCATACCTACCTACTACCATATATATATGTGCAAAAAAATATAAATATATATAAATATATGCAGGAGTGTATGTGGATAACCATTCATGTGCACACACATGTGCTTAATTTGTTCATAAACGTGCAAATGTATATATGTACATACTGTGCATTGGTCCAATTTTGGGGTCCGCAGAGCGACCCTGAAACCGGAACTCGAACAAGAGAAGCAAGTCTGGTCGCAAGGGATGGGAGCACAAAGCACCCCGACAAGTGGTCTAAATGATTTGGGCCGACGTTGCATGTGGTTCCCAACATGTGGAGTTTCCATGGCTCCAAAACTCGGCCTGCGGTGCGGCTCGTAAACTGGTGACTGCGGGCATTAAGAAAGCTGCCCAGAAAACGATCCCAGAAACGAAGCCGGAAGTCGCACGTTTTGCTTGCCAATCCAGTGCCCTGCAGCTGCCCAAACGTGCTAGCCGCTGGACTAGACCAAAAGCTTGCATGTAGCTTGCGACATGGCCCTACATTGAAGAATTTGCCCTTCCCCCAGGCAGGGCATGTAAGCTGATTGCACATCTAATGATACTATGGAGGCACGCTATGTTGAAGCCGGAAGCAAGAGCATGATCTGGACCCAACATCGCGCCCTCAAAACCACGGTCCGAACTCTTCTCTACGGTGGGACCCATATTGGGTTCGGTGGGACCCGGTGGGTCCCAACGTGAGACCCAAATCGGGTTTGATGGGACGCGGCGGGACCCTTAGGTCCCAGCCCTTCTCTACGTCGGACCCTACACCCCGTTTGGGTTCTACAATGCTAATTAGGGTGAGGGGAGGCTCCATGATAACCATTTTCACTGCCCTGTAGCATTGTGGTCCAGGTGTGCGTCCGGCCGGTGTGTGCAATCATTGAAGGGGAGCCGGGCACAACCAACGTTGACCGTTAAGCAGCTTTTTGTTGAGGTTTTCGGCCCAGTTTTCAGGCCCAGATTCCGGACACCAAGCCGGCTCCATGATAGACCGCCCTGAATGTATGCATGCGCATATGACGGTTAATTGGCACATCGATGCTCGCGCAGGTGTGCTTGTGTGTACATCTATATACGTATGTGTACGGAAATTTCTGCACTCATCCATGCGTCTATTCAACTGACGACGTGTGCGTGTTTATGTACGTTTACGTTTGTGAATCTACCCATCTTTGCGTGCATTGTATGTCCAAGTATTCGCAACAAGACAACTGCGTGTGCGTATGGTTGTGTATACACATGTCTATAGGTATATTTATAAACACATGTAGATATATTTGTCTGTGTGTCTGTATGTACGTAGGAGGTAGGTATATCTGTATATATATATATATGTATATGTATACAAACATTTATGTGAGTACATATGTATACTTTTTATACATGTATGTTCGTAAGTATGTATGTAGGTAGGGAAGTAGGTACGTCTGGTAGGTATGTATGTTTACTGCACTCTCCGTTCAATTTCGTTCCCACGCAGAACAATCTCGCATCCACATCCAGCCAGTTCAGCATCATGCAAGGAGCAGGCGCTGCGAGGCACATTCAATGCCGGGAAACATGCAGTTACCCATGGGTGGAACATACAGTTCCATGCCCTCCGTGCAGCCGCACCGAAGCAAAGCACCCGAAGATGCCGATGCCTGGTAGATCCGTCGCGTGACCTTCACTTGGACGTCAAGCTGTACCGAAAGTCTCGGCGAGACGAGGGTATAAGGGTTGTTTGCCCTCGACACGTCCCGGAAGAAGGGCTGGCACATCGAAACACCCAAAGCTCAATGCGCCGTTTGGCGAAGCTGCCGCACAACGCGGAGACCCTTGGCTCGCGTCTGGCAGGCGACAGGCTGGCAATCACTACAGCACAGGGCTGGGTGTCGGAATCTTGGCACAAACCCCAACACAGGGCTCTGACCATTTGCGCAGTTTCAGAGTCCTCAGGAAAGACCCCAAGACCGCCCACATTATTGGGCTGAAGGAACCATCCACAAAGCAGACTGCTCAGCAACACAACAAAAAACTGTCTTGAACAGTGCCCCCATGGGGAATCACCCGGGACTTCGGTTGGCTTGAAAAGTCACAGCAGCAACTGCCGCGCACTCTGCAACAATGCTTCACCAGACTGCCCTCAACCCGAAATCGAGAACACTTATCTACTGACGCATGTATTAGTATGTGTGTGTGTATATGTATGTGTTTATGAACACGCATATGTTTATGTATATGTGTGTATGTAGTACCTGCATATGCATATGCATATGTATCCGTGTATGCGTGTGTGTGTGCACATGTACACATGCTTTCAAGTGTATGTCATTATACCATAAATGTATATGTTTACATGTATGTGAATGAACGAATGAATGAATGAAGGAAGGAAGGAATGAATGAATGAAAGAATGAAGGAATGAAGGAACGAATGAAGGAATGAAGGAATGAAGGAACGAATGAACGAATGAACGAATGAATGAAGGAAGGAAGGAAAGAAGGAATGAAGGAATGAAGGAATGAAGGAATGAAGGAATGGAATGAAGGAATGAAGGAATGAAGGAATGGAATGAAGGAAGGAAGGAATGAAGGAATGAAGGCAGGAAGGAATGGAATGAAGGAAGGAAGGAAGGAATGAAGGAATGAAGGAATGAAGAAATGAAGGAATGAAGGAATGAAGGAATGAAGGAATGAAGGAATGAAGGAATGAAGGAATGAAGGAATGAAGGAAGGAAGGAATGAATGAATGAATGCATGGATGGATGAATGAATGAATGAACGTATGTATTTGCTTCAATACCCGAAGAAAGTGTCATCGGGAGCATGTCAGATGCCTCGTCACGAGCACGGGAACAGCGAGTAGTTGTCATCAGCCGCCTGGGCTGAGAAACTAGTCAAGCCTGCAAGCTTTTCGCGGTTTCTCGGCAGGACTAAGAATGGGCTCCCGTGCGGCTTCAAGTGTTGACTCTGCAGTACTACATAACTACATGCACGAGCAACACTCGTCCTGCACTTGTTGTAGCAGTCGGAACAGTGCTAGCACCAACAACGGGGGTACAGTAGGACAAGAACTAACACTTACGGCATTTGCGGTGTCGCTGCAAAGTGCCAACAGAAGGCTTGCATTTGCATGCATTTGCTTGAACGTGCTAGGCTGCTAGCCAGGGACGCCGATGGTCTTTCGCATGAACCTCAGCATCACCGCGGCTGTGACCCCTGGCAATGCCGACATCTCCAAGCACCCGACTCCGATCTGCATTTCTGGTCGGGTGGAGCCTTTGACGCCAAGGCATGTAACACAAGACATGCTGAATCAAGGGCAGAGCGTCCGACAGATGTGCTCCAGTCGGAGGGTCCAGCGGTAGATGCAGCCCTTGCAGCCGGGCTGCTACATCACTCGAGCATCAAGGGATCGAGGCCTTGAAAAGCTTCAGCGTCCCGGCAATTGGGACTGCCCAGTGGGATTCCTCGCATGCTGGTTACATTCCCCGGAACCACAGCAGCCGACCAAGTCCTTGAAATCACCAACTTTGGTGACAATCTCATTCTCTTCCCCACCTCAATCAACATGCGGCTTTCTGCTTTACTGGCATCACAGGCGGCAGTCATGCCGGGGGCTGTGCTAACGTCGAACTCCCTCTGGAAATCTCGTGCGGCCTGCCCTGAGCCACGCTCATAGGGCTGACTGACGAGAACAAGCAACACGCGAGACGAGGTGGCGGACATGAAAAGGGCGGCCGCTGTCTCGGTAGAGAGGGGATCTCCTGGCAAAGGCAGCTACACCTTAGAAAAGGGAGGCAGCTCAGAAAAACCTGCGGCCTACCGGAGCTCCTGGCGAAAGGCCTCCAGCATCTCCTTGAGGCAAGTCTAAGACTTGTTCTGGAGAGCTGAGAGCTCCACGGGACGATGGTCAACGTGATCTGATCATGAGCTGCAGGCCTGAAGGCTACGGCTAAGGCGCTGAGGGCTGAGGCCTCCTCTTTCTCTGCGCGCTCAGGTGCCCGGTGCAGACCATAAACTTTGGGTCGGCCCTGACTCGGATGCAAGACAACAGGGTCGCAGTACCGCAGCTCCATCCGTCATGTACTCGTCACCACGCTAACCAAGCATGTCAGCCTCAGAGTACGTGTAGCGCAGGTCCCAGCCATCGGCCATTTATGCGACACCTGTGTTACCACTGGCTGCCCTGGGTCGGTAGATTTCTGATCAATCAATGCTCATGTTGCAACCTTCTAGGGCTGCACTGTGAGCCAGGGAGCATTGGCAAAGGTGTCACCTTGCCTCTCGCATTGCTGCATCCCTCATGCATCATCGCATAGTCGCATTGTGCAGGAGCTCTTTTACACCCCATCTCGAAACGTCGGGACCCCAGCAGCACCGGCTGGACTTCTTCTCCAGGGGCTGTCGTCGACCAAAGAGACACCTCGCTCGTGTACAGGATGGCCGGAGACAGCGAAAGCGAGCCGGCTTTGGGTCCCGGCCAGAGCTCCAGGCCTCGGGCCCGACTCCTCGCAGACAGCAGACACTTTCTCTGCGGCGGATGTTCTCTGTGAGAAGGCCCGGGGCCTGAGAAGGGCGTCGACCCGAAAGGGCTGTCCCAGTCGCCGCCAAATCCTCCACACACAGGCACTTTGCATCACCTCTTCATGCACCTTCACGGCCTGGTGTAGGTGCCGAAGGGCTGGGTGGGGTACTGCGCAAGGACAGCAGCGCCTGAAGACAGTTGCAAGGCCTTCTGCAAGCTTATTTGAGCCTCAAAAGACCCGTTCTGGCAGTGGCCTTCTGGAGAGCTTGCAGCTCACGCTTCTCCACGTCCAAGCGAGCCTGCTCTGCTTTGGCCTTCCAGGCTGCGCAAGTGAAGCCTCAAAGAGGCTTTGGTGCCGAGCCCGAGCCGCGCCTGCTCATGGACCTCTTGCGTTGCCTGCTGAAGGGCACGGCCTTGCCCCTGCGCGGATAGAGCAAAAATCCCTCCTGCTTCGTTCTGCCGAGGAAGAGCCAAGGAGCCCGGGAGCCCAGAGCGCAGACGTGGCCCCTGGAACTACTGGGAGAATCCAGCTGGAGCAGCCACAAAGACGCCTTGTTAGCGCGCGGTCCCGTGTCTGTACACCGGTGTTCTTCCCCTCTCGACAACCTCTGCATCCGCGCCTAAGGCCTGAAGGAATGGAACAGATCACTCATGGACTTCTGCTTATGCTGGTTGGGCCTTGCGCAGCAGGTTTGCCCTTGAAGCTCTCGCTACTGTCGGAGAAACAGGGGGGGTGGCCGACAGAAGCGAAAGGAGTTTAAACCACTATGGATTTCCCTGGCTTCGCAGATGTCTGCGGCAAGCACAGGGAGTAGAAGTCCCAATGCTCCAGAAAGAAGGAGCATCCGGGCCACGAGTTGTTGGGGAAGGACACCACCTGAGGAGTGCTACTGACGTTCAACAAAGTAGCAACGGGATCCCGGGAACTCCAAGCTGGCCAGGGAGGCAAACCCTCGTCCTGCTCCAGCTGGTCATACTCGCCGTTAGGATTGCCAAACTTAGCAAAGTTCGCCCAATACTTCATCATCCACTGTGACACCTTCAAGGCTGTGCCAGAAGGCGAATCCAGCGTCCCGAACACGAACGGAATCTCGTCACCGTGGAGGACTAATCCAAAGCTGCCTGTTTCCGAGAACTTGTAAACAAATGCGGGAGATCCATGAAGCGCTGAAGAGCTTGCTATCCACTGTGCCGTGCATGTGTAGCTGAAATCTGTTTCGCAAGCCTGAGCTGCATGGAAGTATTTCGACATCCACGAAGCTTTGCTGGTTGTTTCAGGCTGAAATATCTTCTCCAAAGTCTGCACACGCTCTTCTCCATAGAGGTTGGAGTAGTAGGACTGCATGGATGCTTGCGACATCGTCGCCATAGCAAAGGGGTATCCTGGCACGAACATGGCCCCATCGTTGAGATTGAAGCCAGCAATCATTGGCGTGTCCTCAGGTCAATGAACCAAAATGAATCAAGCCCGACATATGAAGCTGCCAACATGCACACCTTGCCGCCTTGCACTCGGTAAACAGAAGTGACAGCTGGAAAAGGCTACTTTCGTTCGGAGCATCTGGGCGAAGAAGGCCAGACTGAGCCAGTTGCAGAGGCGTTCCCCGGACCAGCACGCCATCCACCACAGGGGCCCAAGTGCAACCATCCTTGCAGGGTACGGCATTCACCGCTTCCGCCACCACGGTCTGCGAGGCGGACACGATGCAAGACAAGAGGCTGGAAGACTTGGAGCACTTCGAGGTGGATACAACCTGCTTGAAATTTGCATGTGCACCACTCAGGGTAATGTAGGTCCAGGCAGATCCAGTGCCACTCTCCATGATCCCTCGATGGTAGAAGGGCCATGCCTCCTGCATGCCTAGCAGCAGGCTCACCGAACCGGCTCCTGAGGACTCTCCGAAAATGGTCACTCGCTCTTTGTCGCCGCCAAAGAAAGCAATGTTCTCCTGAACCCACTTGAGGGCGGCGACTGTATCCAGGAGCCCGTAGTTGCCAGTGGAACCCTTTGGATCTCGCGATCGCAGAATCGCATCGCCGAGGAAGCCAAAAACGCCAAGCCGGTACTGGATGGACACAACAACCACATCCTCTTGCACAGCCAGGGCAGATCCGTTGTACTGTGGATCAGATGCCGACCCACTCACGTAGCACCCACCATGGATCCACACCATCACGGCCCTAGAGCCGCTTGTGCTGGGTGTCCATACGTTCAGCGACAAGCAGTCTTCCGTGTAGCCGTAACACTTTCCCCGTGTGTAACCCTTGCAGTTCTCGGGATTCGCCGCGTAGTAATCGAAGGACTGCGTGCATGCAGGGCCGAAAGCCGTGGCCTGAAAGACCTGACTCCAGGGAGGCATTTTTTGCGGTGCGGCCCAGCGAAGGGCTCCGACTGGAGCCTGTGCGAAAGGGATGCCCAAGAATGTCTGCACTCCACTTCCCATCAGGCCCTGCACTGGACCGGATGTAGTTTGCACGATGTCAGTCCTGCCTGTCTCGGTGTGAGTGTCAGCAGTGTTTCGGACGGGTTGTGAAGCTCGAGCGGCTTGCTCCGGTTGTCCGTCGGACTGAGGCGGCGGCCGGGGGTCGAATCTGGGAGCCTTGCAAGATTCGAAGCAAAAGCCGGGACCGGGCTGCAGCGACATGTCTGCAGGCGTGCAGTGTCTGCCCCAGATGCACCCAGCAGCTGTGCAGGCTCCAGGATCCGGCAGAAAGCATTCGTCAGCCCACCTGCACTGGTGCCTCCGGCCATCCCAGAAGCACTTGTTTCTTGTGTCGTCCCAACTGGCAACAGCACCTCCGGTGGTTAGTTCCGTGTGGCAGACATCCCATGGGCGCTGATCGCATGGCATCTCCGGCACACAACGCTCGGCTGGAACATCCCACACACATAGGTGCTGATGACGAAATGCCAAGCATTCGCTGACACTGCTGTGCTGCTCGCATTGGTTCAATGGAGCATCCAGAGCATGCAGCGTTTGCAGAATGCCGTGCAGTACAAGAGTGGCTGCACGAGATGCCATGGCCGATGAGCTACTCACGGCTTCCACAACGCTCCAAAGCTTATCGAGAGTGTACCTGCCTCAACAACCCTCTGCTGCACAACAACCCTTTCTGAGGCCACGAGCGGCTTCATGTCAAGCATGTGTTAGAGTCGACCGTTGCATCTTGTCCCTACACCAAGTCACCAAGCCAAAGCTTCGAAGGCCACGCTCTGTTCCGTTCTGATCCCCTACCCTCCATAACCGCTGCTTCGACTTGCCTCCATGCTGAGGCTTGCCAGTTCCAGCTTCGTCAGAGACACTTCCATGGCCTGCAACGGCTTTGGGGATCAGCTGTTTGTCGCCGCAAAGCTCTTGTGACCTCTGAGTCACGCGAGTACTCTTCCCGCAGCCGTTGCAGGAAAAAGGCCTTTACAAGGCACCATGCACAAGATGCACTTCGACAGACAGCCCAGACTCGAGCTGTGAGCCTCCTCTTGCTGCTTCCTCACACCAGAAATCAGAAGGGCGCTCTCCTGATGTCTCCGGTGCCTCAGATCTGAATCCCATTGCCGCAGACAGGCAGCGCCAGTGCTCGCCACTCCAGCCGAGAAGCTCCAAGCGCAGCTCCGCAAGCTGCCGCTGTGAAAGATCAAGCTGCTGCATCAAGTGGCCTCGCTCGGTCTCCTGGAAGGCAAAGGACACAGAACGGTGCCCCAGTGCCTCAGCCTTCTTCTCTGCAGCCAGCTCGCCAGCTTCTGAACTTCAGCTTCTTCGCGGCCAGCCGCCTCGTCTCAGGCAATTTCTGTCACGCTGCCTGCCACGTCGTGCCGAAGAGCTGAGGTGCCTTCTCCTCGCGCCGACACGCCTCCTCCAACCGATGCAACTCCTGTCGACTCCCAGGGAACTCCGATGCAGCCCGGACATCAGAGACACAGTCAGCCTGGCTCCACTCCGCGACATCTTGACGCAGCCGCTTCACCAGTACTTGCCTGCAAATCGCTTCGAGCATCCCGGCTTAGCACCTTCAATTAAGGACGACCAAAGGCAAACGCTCTCTCAAGTTGCAGAAGATACTGTAGCTTGGTTTGCGGCCAAGTCTCTCGGCTTGCAGCAGCACCAGCAGGTGTTCTGCCGGCTGCGAACGAGGCCCAACGTGTCCATTTGTCCCACTTTTCGAGAGCTCCGAGCGTGGCGGCGATGGGCAAGGGCCACTGCCCTCGTTAGACGGCCACCACGGCTCGGCTGCCGGCTTGGTAGGCTGAGCTTCCTGCCATGCACAACACGGACTTCAGCATGGCATCCGAGACCTGCGCATGCCTCTTCCGTGCTGTGGTCAGGTGGCCTCATGCAACTGGGATTCTCGGATTTTCTGCCGCGGATCAGGAGTGCTGCGTCCTCGCCATGCTCTGAGATCAGAGCCACGCTGTTGAGTCGTGAGTGCGGAAGGGGTCCTCGAATTGACGGGCTGGGTACTCCATGTTGAATCTGTTTGAGCCAGATCTGTCCCAGCGCGATCATTCTGAACGGACTGCAATTACAGTTACATCTCAGAAGACTGGTTTTGGGATCGGTCGGATGGCATCGGTAGCACCGGTACGAGCAGCATTTCTTCGACTGCACAGGCAGGTGAAGTACTCACCAAGGCACTGCGTCAGCTGCGCTACTGTGAAACTCATCGCCATCGCACGATGCACCACAATCTTTCTACGGAAAATGTGGGAAGTTGCATTATCTCTGAGCCTGGACTCGGCACTGCAACAGGCTGCTTGGAGTTCCTGTGCTTTAACCAAAGACTTGGTGTCGAGTCCTCGAGTCCGAGCCGGGGGGCCTACTGCGTTGCGGCCGGATCCGCGGGGGGCACCATGTTCTCCACTTCCTTCGCAGAAGGCTAGGACTGAAGTGCGAGGGCGAGAAAGGCGCCTGCAGGCAAGGCAGGCTCATCCTGATTGATATCGGCAATGGACGAGTTCGCCTTGCCGAGATCCTCTGCAGAGGCCAGAGCGCGCTTCTTCTTGCCGGGTGTAAGGGGAGTGGCCTCGATGGAGGGACCCGCCACGTCCTCATCGATTCCTCACAGAGCAGAGGCAGAGGAGGCAGAAGCGGAAGAAGCGGCTTCTGAAGGCTTCGAGATGCTTCAAGTCTTCGAGCAAATCTCGGAGTCGAGCCGGAGTCCCACGCAGCTCCTGGGCTCAGGCCCGTGTCCCCACACCAGAGGCGGAGCTGGAATCGCACCTCCAATCCCAGGCGGGCCTGGTGAGGAAGAAGGGGAGGAGACAGAAGAGACGGAAGAGGAGGAAGGGGGAGGGAAGGAGAAGTCAAACGCAGACATTAACGAGTCTCTTTCTCTTCCTCAGGGCATAAGGGGCGGGTCAGGCCCCCCGGCCTCATGGGCCCCCCATGTGTTATGGGGCTTTCGGCGGGGCTTGAAAAAAACATCGATTCCCCCAGTTTATGCAAGAAGGTATATTGGACTATGAACTGACTGGGTTCATCGATGATTGGTGGACGCGGTCACGATCCTTTTCTCTGTGAGTATTGGGTTAGTATCTTTCTCTCTCTTTCTCTCTCTCTCGGAAGACTCGCCAGGATGGCCTTGGCTTCCGCTCTCGTAGGCTTGCACCACCTCCTGCGCTCTGATGCGTCGATGCTAAAGAGAAATGCAAAGAGGAGATCCCTGCGATGCCTGCAATTGGGAAGCGACCACGGAGCCCACCACCTGGCCGTCGGCCTCCTGCAAGCAGTCGGGGGGGGCCACTTGCGGCGACGCGTCCTCTGAGAGCCCTTTGAGACCGGACCCGCGCCGCCTCGGAGGCGTCGGAGCCACCCTCGAAGTCCAGGTTCTCAGGGCTGCTCCACCTGACGACATAGGGATTTATTACATAGGGCACGTCACAGAGCAGCAATCCGCTCAGCACCCCACCTCGAGCTGAGGCCTGTCTCCAAAATGCCGGCCATGGCCTTTCAGTCGACTCAACCAAAGGTCATGCGGAACATGCGCAGAGGATGGAATCCGAGCAAAGCACCACGTTGCACTCCTCCAAAAATGCTTCGTCTCTTCGGGAGTGACTCATGATCTTAGTAGCGCTCCTGGTCCGTCTCGCAATGAGCTTCCTCGGAGACCTCGGCATTCAGGGACGCTAGCTTTCGAGCTTCCAAGCCCCAGCGCTCTGGGATCATGCAATGCCAACCCCCTCCTTTTCACGTCGCCAGCTCGACAACCTCGCAGCGCAACTCCTCGTTCTTGCCTCTCTTCGCCCTCGCCGGGAGGTGATCAGCGGCCTTCGAAAGCTCCGCCGTCCTTGCAATGCCACCACTCCGTCCTCGACGAGCCTCCGACACCCGGAACCCGGGACCTGCAAGCAAGAGAATACAAAGTTGCTACTCAGCTTTCGGTGACCAGCTCCGGATGCCTTCACGTGCTTTCACTGCTCAAAGCCCAAGCAGCTTCCGTGTCTGGTCTGAGACGACCTTTTGCAGGCACCGAACATGAAACAATGGGATCCTTTTTTTGGCGCAGGTTCAACCCGAGCCTGCAAAGCCAGGCTGCGTGGAAGAAGCCGGGTGAACACCAAGTGAACGAGCTTGTTCAATGGTCCTGTTACCACCCACGAGTTCCTGACAAGCAGAAGCTCGATGCAACCAAGCCAGTGCATGCCTGCTACAGTGCATGGCTGGCTGAGTGCAGGGATGCAAGGGGGCCTGCCCAGGTTTGCCAGGCACTCCGAGACAACTTCGTAGGGCTCCTGCAGGGGGAGCTGAGCTTGACAAACCATAAATGCCCGCAAAGTTCTCTTGAAACAACCTGCACGGTGACCGCGCGAACCCCGACCCTACCTTTCTCTCCGGACTTGTCATCTGTCGCTTGTGCCGCTTACTGCAAAAATCGGGCCAAGGGGTCCAAGGCCGAAGGCCTGATTGGGCCACCCTAATGCAACTGCGGTCGTACGCCCCTAGAGATGATGAGATGGTACAGATACTCTATAACTATAATGGATTATGGTATATCATAGTACATTATAGTAGAACAGTACATATAGTATGTTATACAGTAGTACATTATAGTACTTTACAGTAGAATCGGCTGCTGTCACACAGTATGTGACGTGTAAACGATTCTTCTCATCTTCACAGTATGACTGTCACCGGCCCCAACTCTGCGTGCAGGACCATCTAAGTCGCGAATACCGCCGGAAGCCGAACACGGTAGCAACTACCAAATTCCAACAAGCCCAAAGAGTCTTAACATCTCTTAACTAGTTCTCCTCTCCATGATTGCACAGTTCTGCGAAGGAAGCAATCGAGTCCTGCTCTAGGTATGTGATCCTTTCAGTCTCCTTAGCCACCACTTTCAGACTTTGCTGCAAAGCTGTCGATCTCGAAGTCGCGAAGAATAGCTCAAAGCTCCGACCCGTGCTGCCGAGCTTCTTTGGCGGCGCCAAGGTAGGTCGGAGTCACCGTGGGTCCAGCCAGGCAAGCCATGACATCGATTCCTCGAATCGATCCGAATCGCTAACTCTGAAATGCTCAGACTTCTACTCATTGGATGTCCTGTTCCAGTTAACTCGGTGTTCAAGCCCTGCGCAAATGTCGTGATGTAGGCCTGCAGGCAACAGGAGCACGACTCTGTGCTGCGGTGCTGGCTTCCGTGGCTAGCAGCACTGTCTGAGATTCTTTCCCAGCTCCCAGGCATCAGAGTTCGAAGGGTGGACGCAGCGAGCCAGTCTGGCACCTCGCCTTGGTGGCAGCATAGTTGGCGATGAAGGCACCACCTGGCCGCAGCATAGGGCACATCTCCCAAGGGCCATGAAAGCATGGAAAGCTCTCACTGCGGATAAAGCTTCACTTCGGCCTATTTCGCCTGCCACAGAGGACATCAGCACCATGCCGCCTGCAGCACCTCCACGATGCTAGGTGCTGGCACAGTCAAGACACCCCACTTCCAAGCCTTGTTGTGAGAGGTGATTTCCGAAGACGTGTGCGCTAGTCAGCATGGCCAGGATGTTGACATCGATCACGGTCTTGGACTCACCTGTGCGAAGAGTAAGCTTTTAACGTTAGCACACCGGGCCACCGGTCCGTACATGTCCAGCCTAAGCCACCGTCCAGGAAGCTGCCACGCGGCCCCGAGAAGGCTGCGTTCACGACCAGGAGGCGCACCTGAACCGCAACAAGGACTCACCACTCGCCACTCGCCATGCCTTAAAAATCACGGGCCTCATGTCGTTCCAGGGTCTCCAACAGCCAAGTCTCCGTGAGGTTCGCGAGGTCTTGGGTCCAGGTCTCGATCTGCGAAAGACTTCGCTGCAACAAGCGCTCTGCCTACAGGCAGAGATTTCACGGCTCGCCAGCCTCGATGTCCACCTTGCTAAGCAGTGCCTCCTTCAAGGTCTCCATCGGCTTCGGTTGCCTAGCGAGACGTTCAGGGTGCAGCAGAGAGCATGGACAATCGCTATGCCGTTGGATTGGAGGCCTGGCCACCAAGATCAAGTTCAGCTTCAGGGCCGCTAGCTGATGGGCCCACGCCTCTCATTGCACTTCAGGGTCCACAGCACTTGCAAGGCAAACCGGTGAGCAACATTCCATTATCTCAAGCGAGAGAGACCGAAGCACATACGGCTCGAACGAGGCTGTGACGATTGCCACCGGTGCTCGCAATACCGCGGCAATCACACACCGCAAGTCCACGCATGACATGGCGCAGCATGATCTTCACGTTCTCGCTGCCAGGGCAGTCGTTCTGGCAGGGAAGGGTTGTTGTTGACTCGGCGCACCTGCAGGCAGCTGCCCAGCTGGTTGTCGTTGTTGTCCAGCCGGTCGATCATGGTCCATCCGGCATTCATTCCACATCCATCTCCATCAAATTGTTCTGGATCTCTTCGAAGGTCAATGTTCCATTTTTATCGCGGTCCATGGTCTGAAATAGTCTGTCAATCTGCGCTAACGTCTCCGCAGACACCAGGCCCTCTCGTACCAGGATGTATTTCTGGAACTCCTGTCAATAAGCGGGACATCTCGCAAGAGCATGTCCTAGCCAAAGGCAGTTAGTGCACCGACAGTCCTAAAGCTCGTTGTCATGTTCGTACAGTTATGTGCGATGCGCGGAGTTTGCTTCGAGCCGGCTGACATCAGTTTCAGACGATGGCCGTGGCATGGTACGTTGCAAGTCTGGGTTCTGATGTTCGGGTTCCTTCAATTGACAATATCGAAGTACCTTACAAGATGAACTCCTGCTGATCAATGGTGCCGGTTCCATCCGTGTCAATGCTGTCGAAAAGCGTCCGGGTCACGAGGGGCCGCTTCTTTGCCATAGAAGTGATTCTATGCAGAACTTTCGTCACCTTGCCGACAACGTTCCCGAAGGACAGAACACCAAGAATCATCCATATGGAGCCGAACATCCTTCCTGCGCGACTCTTCGGTGCATAGTCACCGAATCCCACAGTCGAAAATGTAATTACTGCCATGTACACCGCATCGATAAGTCTTTTCTTGTATCCTCCTGTCTCTTCACATGTGTCGCTTACGCAACCTCCGATGTGACTGGAACCGTAGGAGCATGAGCAGCGTTCTACTGTAAAGAAGAAGATAGCCCAAGTGACAACGAAAAAAAGATATATGGCAACAGCCATCCCCAGCTGATGCCAAGCGGAAGGCTTTGCCGGCCGCTGCTTCTCGGCCTTCGTGAGCTTGTTCTCTACGTTATGCAAGGACTCCTCCAGGCCGTGCTCCGCACTGTGCAGCAAGCTGTCAAACAGGCTATTCACGATGTTAGCGACGATCACCGTCCCCAGGAGCACGTAGCAAGTCATGAAGACCTTCCCCCCATGACTAATTGTGACATCACCATAGCCCACTGTGGTGATGATCTGTACCACGACGTACAGGGATGTCAAAGGCGTCCAGTCCTGCTCAAGGGTCAAGACCACAATACCCGCCGAAAAATACAGAGCCAGCAACAGGGCGTTCATCAGTCGGGGCCAGCGGACGCAGCGGAGGAGCATCGGAAGGACCTCCTCGTCCGAGTGCGAGTCGGAATCCGAAGATGAGATCTCAGAGCAGAGGGCAGCAGAAGCCATGATGGGCCTGCTATGCCCTGCTCTCACTGCTCTCACATGCTCAAACCATGTCACGAGCTTCAGCTCGAGCCAAGACCGCAGTGACAGCGTGATCACAGCTCAGCTACAGCATCCCATCGTTCACTACGTGTCCATCGGCGTCCCTATCGGCCTCCCCCAGACCGTGGCTGCCGCCCAGCACCAGGGCCCATTGCCCCTGCTTCACGTAGCCCGCCGCCGATGTGCTGAGGTGTCCTCGAAACATCTGCAGATGCTCTCAAAAAGTCGCCACGCACTCTCGCTACCAGCCTTAACAGTTTATGACACCCGCTTCTTTACCTACTACATGCTCTTGCATTTGCTCTTGCTACTCGTTCGACCGACATCTCAGTTTCTGGAACACGTCAGTGGGACAAGGCCTGACTGCCGCCAAGATTCGGTGCGGTTGCAGCACGTATGCCACAATGGCTGCCAGGATAGCAAAGACCCGAAAAATCATCCTGACACCCCCAAACTCGCAGGACCGAACATGTCAAGCAGCGGCAACATGAAACTTGAAAGATCTTCGAAGCTACAGGGTTGCAAAGGAGAGGGACATCAAGCAGCGGCCCCACTCCTGCGAGTGACCCATGCCGGCAACATGGCGGCAATGGGGCTTTTCTAGGAGGTAAAAACTTGGATGTACGTCAAGGAATCGGAAGAATCTGATGGATGCCAAGTCCCCACTCATGCTGGCTTGGCTTAGCGGCTGCTTCACGACGGCTGCTTCATCGTCGCATCGCACACGTCACAAAAATCTTCAAGCCTACAGAGAGCGTAGCTCGGAACCTGGCTTGCCCTGCCAGGTTGGACGGCGTCCTAAGCATGGCACACACGGCAGACGGCGACTTGAAACCCAAATCTTCTTGCAGGTGAGCCACTCAGCCATGCGACTGGGAAGAGACTCGTCCTGGTCACCCACCAATTACGACTAAGCACTGCAAGAGATGCAATGTCCCGGCAGGCAGGTGAATGACAAGGCAGACCACTGCTTATCCCACAGTTCAGTCTTGCTGATATGATATCCACTGTAGTCCCCCAGCAGCAGTGCCTGTGCAGCTGCTAGAAGCTGCTCCACCAGCAGGGGGTCCACGGCATCCTAGCAGCAAAACCGGGGATGAGAACCTGACCCTGCATCACAAATCCGCCGAGGCCACAGGCCCAGGCGTTTTGGTGGTTACCTCAGGTACCCTCCACCTAATCCTCCTCCCTGCAGCCCAAATGTTTGGTGACACCCTGTTTTTGCGCTCGTTTGCCACCCCCTTGCCCGGCCTCCCCTCATTTTCTTTGATTTGCGGGCCTACCCGCCCCCTCCCAGGCCTCCTCCCCCCTCTTTTTTTCCTCCACCCCCCCCCCCCCCCCCCCCCCCCCCCCCCTCCCTCCCCCCCCCTCCCTCCCCCCTCCCCCCCCTTCCCTCTTTCCTGCTCCCACTTCTTCTCCCCGGCCCTCGTTTCGTGTTCCTCGCCCCCGCTTTGGCTTTTGCGTCGTCAATCCACTGCCTGTCTTTCTTTTCAGGCTCTTTCTGTGTTGTTTTTTCTTGCTCCGGGCGGCATGGCTGGAAGGCCTTAACCCCTGCCACTACAGAGCCGAGGCGGGCGGCGTAGCGTTAAAATTACCACAACGCTGTGTACGTGGCTTGAAATCTTCGAAAACGAACTCTCCAAGGAATTCGTTGCAGCGTTTGTATAGCACACATGCATAGGCTGTCAGTTCCAGTGCTGCAACAAGTCTGGAATAAACACACACACACACACACACACACTCCCATGTCCGAATGCACTGGAACACAGGCCATGCAAATGCCGGCGAAGAAGTCGGGCCCTGCCTGACTGGACGGCGCCCTCAGTACGGCGTGGCAGTATGGAACGTGAAACATCCCGCCTTCGCATGCCTCGGGCAAAGCGCTCAGAACTTATCGCAGACTAGCCGCTCGGTCAGGTGACACGGAAGGGCATCGCGCTGATCATCCGCCTCAAACACTGACGTGAAACGTTCACAGTGCCAAACTAAGCCACTGGCTCAACATGCAAACAAATTCGGCCAAGGTCAAGAAAAGCTTCCCCTCGAAAACATAACACCTCTCCAGAGCTTCGAACTGCACACCCCACAAAGCGCATCCATGTCCCCTTGGCCAGAAGAAACTTCTCTGATGGCGAAACTAGACGATCGCGCTGCAGTCCACTCTTTCGCTGTCCAAGATCTAGCTTCTTGTCTGCGGGCTTAAGGTAGTCAGCCGCGTTGCCTTTCTGCATTGTGCGTGCTCTTGGATATTTCCCGGTAGTTCAGCCTTGGCTCCTCCTTGCATTCTTTCTCTCTCTCGCCTTCATCTTGCCTTGCCCAACCCTTACCACACATCAAAGTACTGCTGTCGCTTTTCTTGGTGATGGTCTGGCTTTCCTGAATACCGTTCTCTTACTGATCCATCCACTGCGGGTTTGCTGATTCGATGTCCACCAGCCCCATCGCTACGTCCCAGCAGTGCCTGCGCGGCTGCTTGAAGCTGCTCCATCAACAAGGGGTCCACGGCAGCCTGGCACGAAGATCACCCGTGACAAAACCTCACACAATTGCGTGTCGTGCGCATGTAGCTCGGACATGGGAGAACTTGTAAAGCCATCTGAGGTTTGCAGTATCAGGCCCCTGCAACTTCCACACGAAATCGTTGTATCGAGTCTGGCATGAACATGCTCAAAGAGCCTCTTCAACAGAAGGTGTCTGTCTACATTCGTTCTCAAGCGAGAGCTGTCGTTCTTAAGCCGCTCCGCCTAGCCATGTTTCACGCACCCCCTGTCCGAATGCACTGGAACACAGGCCATGCAAGTGCCGGCGAAGAAGTCGGGCCCTGCCTGACTGGACGGCGCCCTCAGTACGGCGTGGCAGTATGGAACGTGAAAGATCCCTCCTTCGCATGCACTGAGAACTCATCGCAGACGAGCCGCTCGGTCAGGTGACACGGAAGACCATCGCGCTGATCATCCGCCTCAAACAATGACATGAAACGTTCACAGTGCCAAGCTAAGCCACTCGTTCAACATGCAGACGAGTTCGGCCAAGGTCAAGAAAAGCTTCCCTTCGATAACACCTTTCCAGAGCTTCTTCTCACAGTGTCAAGACCATCGTTTGTCAAGCGAGTTCCTTGCTAAAGATAAATCTCACCACCTGAATTGCACACCCCAGAAAGCGCACCCATGTCCCCTGGCCAGGAAAAGCTTCTTTGATGGCGAAACTAGACGATCGCAGTGTGTATTTCGTAGCGAAGCTATGGCACAGTCTTCTTACTTGCTGTGCCGACAGAGTAGTCCGCTGCAGTCAGCTCTTTCGCTGTCCAAGATCTAGCTTCTTGTCTGCGGGCTTAAGGTAGTCAGCCGCGTTGCCATTCTGCATTGTGCGTGCTCTTGGATATTTCCCGGTTCAGCTTTGGCTCCTCCTTGCATTCGTTCTGTCTCTCTCGCCTTCATCTTGCCTTGCCCAACCCTTACCACACATCAAAGTGCTGCTGTCGCTTTTCTTGGTGATGGTCTCGCTTTCCTGATATACCGTTCTCTTACTGAACCATCCACTGCGGGCTTGCTGATTCGATGTCCACCAGCCCCATCGGTACGTCCCGGCAGTGCCTGTGCGGCTGCTTGAAGCTGCTCCATCAACAAGGGGTCCACGGCAGTCTGGCACGAAGATCACGAAGATCACCCGTTACAAAATCTCACACACTTGCGTGTCGTGCGCATGTAGCTCGGACATGGGAGAACTTGTGAAGCCATCTGAGGTTTGCAGTATCAGGCCCCTGCAACTTCCACACGAAATCGTTGTATCGAGTCTGGCATGAACATGCTAAAAGAGCCTCTTCAACAGAAGGCGTCTGTCTACATTCGTTCTCAAGCGAGAGCTGTCGTTCTTAAGCCGCTGGGCCTAGCCATGTTTCACGCACCCCCTGTCCGAATGCACCGGAACACAGGCCATGCAAGTGCCGGCGAAGAAGTCGGGCCCTGCCTGACTGGACGGCGCCCTCAGTACGGCGTGGCAGTATGGAACGTGAAAGATCCCTCCTTCGCATGCACTCAGAACTCATCGCAGACGAGCCGCTCGGTCAGGTGACACGGAAGAGCATCGCGCTGATCATCCGCCTCAAACACTGACGTGAAACGTTCACAGTGCCAAGCTAAGCCACTCGTTCAACATGCAGCATATCTCCTGTACTCGGCTCTAATCGATCCATTCGTCTCGCAGTGGCCAGCCCACTGCTTGTCAACCGAAGCTCTAAATTTACACTCGTTTGGCTTTGTCTGTGTCTTGGCCAAAACACCCTAAACCCTAAACCCATCCGGGACCTCAACCCCTAACGCACTCAAGCGCGAAAGTGAATTGAAGCTCATGGTGTCTCGAAGGGAAGCTTTATGATTCTTTCTTTGCCGGTGCCTTCTGCTTTGCCTAATATTGCGAGGTCCCCGTCTTTCACTATTTCTATGCTTCGGCTTCCCATCTGCCTTCAAAGCCGCCATTTGTGTAGTCTTTGTAAATGTGCGGCTTGGCTTTTCTTGTGATTCGATTCTACTTTGCCCAACCCTTGTCGCAAAAAGTACGCACAAGACACCCACACTTATTCCCTTCGGAATTGTGGATTTGACGTGCACTTGAAACAGTTTCACCCCTTCGCAACAGTGCCTGTGCGACTGCCTCAAGCTCTTCTATCAGCAGAGGGTTCATGGGCTCCTGGCATGAGGATCGACTACATCCAACCACCAGCCAACCATTTGACACCCACATGACGAGCTACCACCACACGGCTCCGTTGACAATGGTCGACTCTCGCAATCTGTGCTTTGACGAGCCAACGATAGCCAACGTATATTGCATCCAGACATGCTTCAGGGCACGGCACGGCCGAAGTTCCTTACGCCTTCAACTGTGCAGATGTATGCATCAAGCTGCAATGCTTGAGGAAGTTGCAAGCAGACCTCTAAGACACCAAGAGTATCCAAGTGTGCTCGACCGTGCGCCCAATCCGAGCTTCCCCACCCCAGCGCACCTGTGAGGCTTCGGAGGCTCCCTCGAGGTCCACGGGGCTGCTGCACCTGCCGTGCTTCCCAAAGCAGGGCGACGTTAATCCTGCCACTTTTAGCAGGGGCACCTCGAGCTGAGACCTGCCTCCAGAATGCCAGCCATGACCTTCAAGCTCGTCTGAAGCAAACTGCTGACGAAGGCAAGGAAAGCTCAACGAAGAGAGTCCGAGGACAGGGCAGCATCGCATTCGGCCGCCTCGAAAAACCCGATTCGCACTGCACTGCTCGGGCGCGACTCCGCAGCTCGTCATGCACCCTACTTAGGAGCAGTGTCATGTCGCGCCGAAGGAACGTCAGTCCGGGCTTGCCTCGTGCTCAGCACCCTGCGAACAAACCTCGGAGCACTTCAAGCACGATGAGCCAAGCTTCCCGCGTGAACTGTGTTGGAAACATGACTGTTCTCCCACTTCTGTTCTATGGCACCCATCGCAATCCGCACGTTAGCCCGCGGGCTATCGTGCGGACGTGGAGCAAATTATGCAGACGCCAACTGGCACAGTTCCATTCAATACGTGAACGTCCAAGACTGTAGAGAAACAATGTATCGGTTGGTTGCTAAGCACGTCCATTTCTATTGAAAATTGTAACGGCGATTAAGTGACACAATCTGTTGTGCTGAAGTTTCTTGGGTTAAGAGCCTGCTTGAGATTGGGGTGGCGGTAGGCAAGGAATGGGCGTGGTGCAACTGTGAGAGCCACTGCGAACAGCAGCGGCTGCACGCACTGGCGAAGTAAAGTAAAGCAGCTCAGAACCACGCCGGCAATGAATGATCGGCTGGTGTCCTGAGTCAGGGCTCAGTGTTCGGCAGCATTCAAGTTCAACCCCTCTTCTGCAGACGAGGCACTCATCTGGATGACCGGGAGGGTCAGATTGATCGCACGGATCTTCTTCTGCCTCGAACTCAACATTGGCTAGGCTCAAAGCAAGCACCCCAACGCAATCAAATTCCAATGGTGCCTGGAGGAGTGCTTGTTGAAGCTTCTCCACGAGCGACGGATCCATCGCGTTGACATCCTCGCACATGAAAGCGCACCGCACTGCTGCTTCGTGGTCTCGGGCATACAGCAGACATTGGCTGTACATTCATGGTTTCTGCTGAGTTGGGTTTCAGCAGGACTAAGCCAGTCGAGAGCTGCGTGGTTGTGGAATCCTTGCTGCATGCCCCAGTTACCGCCAAGTGGGTGGCAAGTGCAAGATGCCATTGGGTTCCGCAATTCTGCAAGACCGATCAGGTCTTTCGTTGCACCTTCTGGCTCAGATTTCGTTGAGTGTGGCGAGGCGCATATGCCACGATCATCTGCTAACAAACAAGCACGAAGGCGAGTGAGCGAGTTCTACCAACTCCTCTACTTGGCACTTGCTCTTCCACCCGCTACGACGCAGCGTCCTCCATCGAGGTTGGGCAGCTGCCAGGATCTTGCATGGAATCTGGCCTTCCTTGCAGTGGGTGTGTTCACCCTGACGTTTCATCGCACAGCAAAGCGCTGTCTTGGGCAAGGGCCATCGATCTCTACAACATCCTCGATCACGTTCGCAACGAGGTCGTCGGGTGCCCAAGCAGTGTCCTCTCTGCTCAGGTGCGACTCCGCAGCCCGCCATACACCCTACTTAGGAGCAGTGCCATGTCGCGCCAATTGACCGTCAGTGCGGGCTTGCCTCTTGCTCAGCTTCCTGCGAACAAACCTCGGACTACGATGAGCATGAACTCTCGCAGCACGATTGCTGTTCTTAGTGTGACAGTCATGATCCTCCCATGACGATAATATTGTGATATTCCTCATGTCAGCGTTCTCAGAAGCTTTGGGGCACTCCATCCATGCGGCCCATGACATGCATGCCGACACGTGATCCTCGTTTCCCTTTCTCTTCATTTACTGCCTTCGTCATCCTGCATCCATTTAGCGCCGTCACTACCCTCTTTAATCCAGTGAATCTGCCATCCCCGGCCCAGAACGAAGCGAAGCAGCGGGCTGTTCATCTCATCGTGCACACTGCTATGCAACAGCCTCAAATCCTCAGAGAACAGCTGGGAACCTTGCGTGAGTCGCCTGCATCCTCAGAGCACGACGTCCGGCTATATATGGTCACTTCTCCACCACAACTCGAGGAATGGCATCAATTCATCTTGCCAGCGAGTCGCTCATCCAAACGACCTGTGAGCCATTCGCCGCTGCAGTCTGCCTCACAGGGCCAATCGGATAATGCAGACATCTGATGAAGCCCAAGACCAGCTGAGAGAGTCCGAAAAGCCTTTTTGCAAATGTGTGCTTCACCCAGTTCCACTTCGGAGAAGCGCCTGAGAAGTTGCCTGGTGGAGCTGCTCCACCAGAGCGCCATCCATATCTTCCTGACAACAGCTTAGCGCAAAGGCATCGAGAATCCAATCACCGGGCTACACGATTCGCAACACAACGATGAGCTTTGTTCCTCATGAACTGACATCAGCCAACGAGGAAGAGAGGCTTGAAGACTTTCTTTAGTAGCGGCTGGAATTACATCCGTGCCTACCAGTATGGGACAAGCTGGCAAACAAGTAGTGCGTTGGCGCGACAAGCCCAAGCTCCTTACGTCTTCAATTTTCCGACGCATGTACGAGTATCAAGCTGCTGAAGACACCAAGCGTGCTCGACCGTGCGCCCAATCCGAGCTTCCCAACCCCAGCGCACCTGTGAGGCTTCGGAGGCTCCCTCGAGGTCCACGGGGCTGCTGCACCTGCCGTGCTTCCCAAAGCAGGGCGACGTTAATCCTGCCACTTCAAGCAGGGGCACCTCGAGCTGAGACCTGCCTCCAGAATGCCAGCCATGACCTTCAAGCTCGTCTGAAGCAAACTGCTGACGAAGGCAAGGAAAGTTCAACGAAGAGAGTCCGAGGACAGGACAGCATCACATTGGGCCGCCTCGAAAAACCCGATTCGCACTGCACTGCTCAGGCGCGACTCCGCAGCTCGTCATGCACCCTACTTAGGAGCAGTGTCATGTCGCGCCAAATAAACGTCAGTCCGGGCTTGCCTCGTGCTCAGCTTCCTGCAGACATCAACTAGCAGAGATCGACAGAAACCCCCCATTTCCCACTTGCATTTCCAAGTTCTCCCAGCCCTTGCCGGGCCTCGGCTCGTGAGGCTTCGGAGGCGCCCTCGAGGTCCACGGGGCTGCTACATCTGGCGCAAGTTTCGCACATGCCATGCGAGAGCCAATTGCTGGAATCGGGACCTGGAGCTAAGACCGGCATCCAGAATGCCAGCGAGGACCTTCAAGCTTGGCTGATGCATGCTTGAAACACCATTCAGTTACCAGGAAGCGCGACCGACTGTGAGCATGGTATCTATGCAAATGACATCCAAGCATGGGGCGGCATCGCATTCGGCCTCCTCCAGTTGCTTCCATGACCCGTGGTCGACCAGGTTACGTGTGCAACTGTGAGAGCCACTGCGAACAGCAGCGGCTGCACGCACTGGCGAAGTAAAGTAAAGCAGCTCAGAACCACGCCGGCAATGAATGATCGGCTGGTGTCCTGAGTCAGGGCTCAGTGTTCGGCAGGATCCAAGTTCAACCCCTCTTCTGCAGACGAGGCACTCATCTGGATGACCGGGAGGGTCAGATTGATCGCACGGATCTTCTTCTGCCTCGAACTCAACATTGGCTAGGCTCAAAGCAAGCACCCCAAGGCAATCACAATCCAATGGTGCCTGGAGGAGTGCTTGTTGAAGCTTCTCCACGAGCGACGGGTCCATCGCGTTGACATCCTCGCACATGAAAGCACACCGCACTGCTGCTTCGTGGTCTCGGGCATACAGCAGACATTGGCTGTACATTCATGGTTTCTGCTGAGTTGGGTTTCAGCAGGACTAAGCCAGTCGAGAGCTGCGTGGTTGTGGAATCCTTGCTGCATGCCCCAGTTACCGCCAAGTGGGTGGCAAGTGCAAGATGCCATTGGGTTCTGCAATTCTGCAAGACCGATCAGGTCTTTCGTTGCACTTTCTGGCTCAGATTTCGTTGAGTGTGGCGAGGCGCATATGCCACGATCCTCTGCTAACAGACAAGCACGAAGGCGAGTGAGCGAGTTCTACCAACTCCTCTACTTGGCACTTGCTCTTCCACCCGCTACGACGCAGTGTCCTCCATCGAGGTTGGGCAGCTGCCAGGATCTTGCACGGAATCTGGCTTTCCTTGCAGTGGTTGTGTTCATCCTGACGTTTCATCGCACAGCAAAGCGCTGTCTGTGGCATGGGCCATCGATCTCTACGACATCCTCGATCACGTTCGCAACGAGGTCGTCGGGTGTCCAAGCAGTGTCCTCGAAAGTAGTAAGAGGCAACTCAGAACACAACAAACATCCCCAAACGTCAGCCCGGTCCCGAGATGCATTGAAGGCTGAGGCAGACTTAGGCGAGGCCTCCAAGCCCTCAGACTCCTCCGGGGCCAAAGAAGACGTGAAGAGCAGGGACTTCAGGGGAGGGATGCATGGAGCTCTTGCCTCTGGTTGTGGAGTCATCAATCGAGATGCCATGGAGTCCCCAAGGGCATCTCCCACCAGTGACTCCACCAGTGCTGCAGACGCCTCATCCTTGCACGGCAACATGGCGGGATGCTGCAGCAGCTTCTGTTCTGTGATCCAGCACCGATCGACAGCGCAGTGAACTTGGCAAAGATCTACGATCCGGATACGACTCCTTGATTAGAGTCGCATGAAACACATTCCCTGACAAGGGAAAGCTCTCTGAGAGTCTGGGCCTGGTCTTCGAACGGCTCGTCCGGCTCGCGAGGCTCAGCCTTTTCTATGATAATCTTGATAGGGTCCTCCTGCGAGACGGACTCCTCAAGGCTGCGTCTGAGTCTGCTCGCATGACCGCATGAAGTGCACCCACTTCTGTTGCATCGCCTCCAGAAGCGAGCTCGCGAAGTGATCATTTTCTGCAGAGTCTGGGTCCTGCAACGCCAGATCCTCGAGAAGTCAAGACACAAGGTACACAGAAAAGAGAATGGCCCTGTAACATGAGTGCAAGCCTGCAACAAGTTGCTGGCATCCATCGAATCGTGTGATACCTGTACTGTAAGGACACATGCGTGCAGAAGTTGCGAAGTTGCTCTGGCGCCGCAACTTCCCCAATCGCCTCCAGTAGCGAGCTTGCGAAGTGGGGATGCCTGGACTGCTCGAAAGCTCAACAATGCCATATCACAACATCACAAGAGTCCCAAACAGCGACATCCTAATGATCGAACTCGACATCTTCAAGCTGAAGACTAGCATGAAGCTCGGAGCCTTAGAATATTTACTTATGCAGTCTGGATAAACGTCTGAGATCAGAGCTCCAAGCACTCCACAGCGTTCAGCTCACTGGCATCATCATCCGCTTGCAACCTCGTTGTGACAGGTCTTATCTGGTGCGGCCAGGAGATCACGCTTGCATCCACAAGGCCTGCTGCTCTCGTCTTTCTGCGACTCGTGCGTTGCCACCACTTCGGGCCTCAGCTGTCGCATGCTGCTCGACAGTCCGCCACTCTTGTTTACATGGCTTAACGCAGACAAGAACAGCATCCAAATCGAGAGAAGAGTCCGAAGGTCTCACACAAAGGCATGGGGCTTTGGCTGCTGCGGCTGCTCCGCAGCTGCCTCGTCCAGACCGCAACAGACATGCGCAGACTGCCGCAGAAGTCAGCGTCGAGACCTGCCTGCGGCCCAGCTGAGCGTGGACTGGCAGCCTGCGTGAACAGCAGAAACTGGCAGAAACCGTCTTCAATGTTCCGACACATTTCTCAGTTCTCAGGCAGGATGGGCTCTGAATCCCCGCACAGGATTCTGACGAATCCGAGCGGGGCCCCGACGGGTGAAGCATCGGAGGCTCCCTCGAGGTCCACGGGGCTGGTGCACCTGTCGGGCTTCGCACAGCGAGGCGACGTTGTCTTCTGCTTGCAAGTAGTAGTGGGCGGAGCACCTCGAGCTGAGACCTGCCTCCAGAATGCCAGCCATGACCTTCAAGCTCGTCTCACTTCAGCCACCAGAAACAAACAAATTCCACCGAAGAGAGTCCGAGCAAAGGGCAGCATCGCACTGGGCCGCCTGGAGGGCATGCGATGTACGGCTTGTCAAAGACTCTCCAACCAACATTACGCGGTGCAATGAGCCCGCCCTGCAGGAACGGCTTCTAGCCATATGGAATGTCTTGCCAGATGAACTGCGAGATCTGCCTGGTGCTCGGCCTCCTCCGAGCGAGCCTGATTGCGGCTTTGATAAGGGCGCTGAGCTACTGACTTGCACTCTTGATGAGCGCGATGTTTTTTCCGCACCCAACAGCTAGGACTGAGAACACAACGAGTCCTAAAAGCATTTCAATCACTGCTGGAGCAACACATCGGTGGAACCCCTTTCCGGAATGACTATGGTGAGGCGGTAAGCGCGGCCTGGCCTGCCGCAGCTTTCGCACTCTCCGGCGGGCCAAAAAACCACGCACCAGCTTGTTTGCCAACCTGAAGTTCATGTCTTCGGTCCGCAACACACTTGCACGAAGCTCGCGCTGATCATGGCTTTGGCGGATCGCTTCGACGGATCATAGGTAACCCGACATCGCTTTGAACGCGAGCCTTGCCGCCCGACGTATGGAGTCCACCTTGTGCCTGGCCACCCGCATCCTTGCATAAGCCTGCGACGAGGCACGAAGCCCTTGACCAAGCCCGCCCAAAAAGCCCCAAACAGACGCCTGAACTCGTGTTGCGGCATCGGACTGCCTCCTGCTAGCACAGCCACGAAACAGTTTCTGCTCGCCCATGCACGGAGAGCTGCCTCAAGCTGTTTCTCACGAACCTCCCACGCACCAGAGCCTGATGACCACGAGCTCACGAGCTGCACTGGTTGAGTGCAACCGCGACAGTCCCACCCATGCCTGCACTTTGGCAGCGGAAGAATGTGCGATCTCGCTGAGTTGCCTGGCATAAGGCGATCATTGTGGCTGCTGTGCTTCCATGGTGTTATCAGCTGTTGGGACTTGACACATATGCGGCCTCTTCAGCTTGGCTCGCGCAGTGTTGCCCCTTGCAACCTTCTGGATCTTGACGGCTGCGTTGTGCCTGGCGGGAAGCTGCTTCCCCGCCACGGAGCTCAAGCGTTCAAGGAATTCTGTATGACCGTGTCGACTCACAGTTATGCTGCCTGCTGTGTACAAATCGACAGGACACTTGAAGCATGAAAGCACGCTGCCTTGCTGAGAGACGGATAGAGTCCACCTCGTGCTTGGCCGCCCTCATCCTAGCGTAAGCCTGCAACGAAGCATTCATCACAGCTCTTTGCTCTTTGCCAGTAAATCCTTGATTGCACAAGCGAGGCTGACCCATGAACAGGCCCCCCACCTGAATTCGGGTTGCCGCATCGGACTGCCTCCTGCCGACAAGATTGCCGGATTGCCACGAGCACGCCCACCTCCTCATGGTAAGCCGCCTGAGGCTGCTTCTCGCCAACCTTCCACGCACCAGCGCCTCAACGCAACGAAGCCATACGCTACTAGCCTGAGTGCAAGAGCGACATGCCCCATGCCTGCACTTTGGCAGCAGAAGCGTGTGCGATCTTGCTGATTTGCCTGGCTGCAGGCCATCATGAGTGTCACTACATCGCCGCATGTGCATACAAAGTATGCATATTCGGCCTGTTCAGCTTGGCTCTTGCAATGCTGCCCCGAGCAACCTTTTGGATCTTCACGGCTGCATTGTACCTCAGTGAGACGTGCTTCTGGTGTCGTCCAAGTCTTCGACCATGCAAGCTGAGCAGAATCAAGAAAATGCAAAGGGCAAAGCTCCACAAAGGCGCGGCGCGCGGCATAGATGACCTGCAGTCAGACGCCCACAGCTTGTCAGCAGTGGGCTTGTACGGGCATCAGATGGCAGAGCAGACATAGGGGTTGGCTCGAAAAGCCATCCTCTTCTTGGCGTCGCTGGTCGGTGAACCTTATTCACATGCTAGCCTTTCCTGATCTTTCCTGTCGCCGGCTGCATCCCCTCTCTGGTTTCACATGCTGTCCTTCCCCGACCTGAGGTCGCGTCTCTCACCGGCCGCAGCCTCGGCACAAGATGTCGACACATCTCACTTTGGCCGCGGAGCGTCGCAGAGACACGAGACGGGCCTCGAGTAAACGCTGCCGGCGCATCTCGCGAGCCAGCTCCTCGCACAGCGGATACCGAGCTTCTAGTTCAGCAGTCCAACGTGTCGTCCCTTTTCGTCGAGTGAGCAATGCTGCGCACTCCATGTGGTCCGTGCGTGGAAACTGATCGAAACATGCAAACTCCTTCACATCATGGGTCATAGTTGTGGTACGCAGATCACGGGCCATCGTCCGGGGGTTGCAGCTGATGTACAGAATGTTCTCGAAAGCTGGCAAGCATTCTGTGACGGCACTGTCCAGGCCGTGGCGAGTTGGGTCAACGAGCAGTGTGTTCGGAGAAATCAGACCAGGTAGCGAATTCGACTTCCAAGACTCCAGCATGCTGACGGCAGTCATCCACACTGCTTGAACATTCCGAATTGCATTTAATTCCAGATTTTGCCGTGCCAGCTTTACAAGCTCGCGACTGCTGTCTGCAATGATGCACTTCCGGAAGTTCCTCGCTAGGGCTACAGAGAAGAAGCCACCCCTCAGCGGCGGACAGCGATCTACACGCGGCAATGGTCCAACGTGTCTGGCACGACAAGCGAGACTCACAACATTGCCGTCCAACTGCTGCAAGCAAGACTCCCACAGTACAGCTCCATGAGGTCATGCGATGCATTCAGGATGCGAGTACTGTTGACAGCCCATTGAAGCATTCGATGCGCAACAGCATAGTTTGGCTGAGAAAAGAACCCAATGACCTGATAGGGGACGGTGACCAAACTCGCACCCTACACTTGTCCGGCACCTCTGAAGCAGAAGCAGCACCAAACATTCAGCAGACCTGGCGGTACAGCAACCTGGTGCCCTGAATGTCGAACTTTTCCAGGACGTGGTCTCGAAGCACAGAAATTCTGCCCCGTCGCCGGGCCCACCAGGATCTACCGATAATGGAGCCAACAACGTGGAAGCCAAACCGCCGATGCAGCGCCCTGGCTTTGGATGCCCAGGCTGAAGGTAGGATCTTATCATATCCAAACATTACCAGGACGTCACCCTCGGAGGAGACATGGAAGAGAGCCTCTTCAATGCCTTGACACAAGCCAAGCTCTGGCAGAACTTGCTGAATTTGAGCCATGGCCTGATTCATCCTAATGTGCTGTCGAGCATGATAAGGTGCCGAGCCTCCACGGTGATACTCAATGCTGCCATCTCTCGAGCGTACATAGAAATACCCCCTCATGCGGAAGTTGCTTTTAGGTGATTCGAAGATTCGAATACGCAAAGGCAATCTGACACCGCTACAGTGCAACGCCTTCAAAACCATCAGAACCTTGTCTCGAAGCGCATGCGAATAGGCCTCTCCATCGTCAGCCTCTTTCGCTGGAGTGTGCGACCTGTTCAGGGAAGCCAGGGAGAAGCCTCGCCTGATGTCTGATGGCTGGATCTCTGCCAGATTCCCCGAGAAGTTCAGTGGTGCCACGAACTGCAGCTGGTGCACTCGCGAATACAGAGGAACCATCATCTGCTTCGTGGCTCTGAGTGCTAACGCGCGCAGCTCTCCAACCGAATGGAAAGTGTGGAATGCCCACAGCAGTAAAGGAAGCAGCAGGAGTGCCGAAGCTCTGCCCGAAGATCTGCTCCAGCTTGCTCGTCCACGTTGCTTCCAAAAACTCTGACGGACATGAGCCCAGTACCGCAGTTCCATTTCGAACGCACGGTGTTCGCTGATCGATGTGATACCGTCAAGTGACCATTCAAGAAAGCTGGTCGTCCGGTAGAGTCAACCATCAGCTTCAGCAAAACATCGTGCCGAGTAGGCTGTTCAAGGGCAAACACCGCTCTGTCTTCGCTCTGAAAGTCAGTATGGTTCGATGAGCTCACAAGCCATGTGCAGCTGCGAAGGGACAAGGTTTCAAAGTTTCGACAGAAGCAAAGAGCTACATGAGCTAAACCAGGTGGCAGCGGCTCTCCTCCGAAGTCCACTGTCGCACCAGGTAGCCACGAATGCCAGCCTGTCTGCGACAACTCTGCACTTAAAATTGCGTGCACCCGCTGTTGAACAAGGGCGCATTGTCCTTCAGAGTCGCAAAATGGTGCCTGGATGCAAGTGGCCGCTTGATGCTTCCGGTAGTCCGTCGGTGCAGGCAGGCCCTTCTCCCTGCGTTTGTCGAGCCTGCCGATAACTCCACAAAACAACTGCCAAAGGATCCCAGCAGCCTGGCACAGAACTGCAGCATCAGCATCATGTGCCTATCACGCAGGACAGATATGGCCCGCATCCGATGAGGCCTCACAGAACGAACACGGTTCCTTCGCCGATAAAGCTTACATGCTTTCGACCACTGCTGCATCACAACATCTGCTGAACTCGAATGCAAGGCTGGGATCTCAGATCAGAGCTCCAATGCTGTCAGGCCGTTACCCTCGTCAAGCATCTGCAGCCTTTCACCACAGTCGAATGGGGCTGGTCGACAATGTTGTTGCGATGAGTGACCATGAAAAACCCTTGCGCCCACCCATGCACGTGCATATCGTGCTTCTTGCGCGTACACCAGCTTTTGAATCTCTCTTACAAAGATCCAGATGTTTTTTTCTCGCGTGCTGTTGCCACCGGCCTGGGGCGTTCTTCAACAGTGACAATTGAACAAACGCGTAACTGTAGTAATCATGCACCCTCAACTGAAACGATCACCATCGGCATGCACCAGGCCTGCGATGATGATACTCCCACGAAGCAACCACCTCTGGCCTTAGATGATGCGCTTCACAGAACAGGAATCTGCCAAAGCAACAGTGCATTTGTTCACATGTGCTTGGGTTTCAATGGCGACATCTGGCAAACAAATGGAAGGAACCAGCGTTAGGGTCCCAACGGGGCTCCGGGCCTCACGGCAACATTGCTCTTTGAATTGCCACAGAAACGCAGCTCCATGAGGATGCAACGGAGCAGGAACGATCTGAGCCCGTCCCGGTCCCAGAAGCGGCCTGGGCTAAGGAAGCGAAGCATCCTCTCCACCGACCACCCCTCACACCCCCCCCCGAATCTAAGGCTTCGGCTGCGTAGCGGCCTTAGCCTCGCAGAGGAGTTACAAAAAGACGAGGCCCGGAAAAGCAACAGCATCAGCGCAAGTCCCGCACATCTTCTGCGGGCGACCTTGTCACAGATTCCGACGACCACTGTAGCAACAAGAAGCGGGGTTCTACCACAGGCTCCGGCACGTCCCGCTCGGCACCACCTGGCCAGGCGTGGCCTTAATCAGTAAGTGCAGTCACCGTGTGACGCCCAAGTTCGGCTCAGCTCATCCGCCTCGTCCGCCACGTGGACTGGTTCCAGCCAGCCGCTTCTGTGCGAGCACTTCGACCATCGGCTGCGTGCCATGCGCCTCGAAAGAAGAGGGCACTCCTCTCGAGATTCTCAAGCACCAAGCCTAAACAAGCCCAATCAGCCCATGTTCCAGGGGCCTGCTGTGTCAGAATGGGCGAGCCAGCATATCCCTCCGTGTCCAGCAGCTTCGGATGAGACTCCCAGAAACCTTGGATTCACGCTGGCCGGGTTTTCCATCCAAGTACAAGCTTGCGAAAGCCAGTCTCTTGCAAGCGACGGCTCGTGACCTCGGCCCCAATGGCTGGCAGTCTGGTCCTTACGGAAGCATCGTTTCTTCGGTCTTCAACGGCCTTCGTTTCCAGCTCTCCGAGCTCGTTGCTGCTTCGGCCTGGAGAATGCACTCTTGCAGCTTTAAGAGCGTAGATCCCCTCCGTAGATCAGATTGGTTTCATGATCTCCTTTTCTTGCTTTCCATCGGCTTCTGGCCTGCGGCTCTTAATCCGCGGCTTCTCTGGAGGCCTGGGATCCGGCGGCCTCCATGCACCGGGAATGGTGGCTGAAACAGCTGATCCGACCAGACCTGCCTGAGGCGGCGCAGCGTGATCTGCTTCTGATCCGCCAAGATCTCCTGCGCCTTGGGACGAATTCAATGGCAGGTTCAACGACGTCTGTTACTCTGGGCATTGTAGGTCCGAGGACAGGACACGTGCTGCGTCAGCTTGCGAAAGATGAACCTTTTGCCAGGGATGGCAGTGTCCGTCCTGCTACGAACAAGCAGTCACAAAAGCTTTGCGGAGATCTGTTCGAATTGCAACGGTCTTCGGTCCTGGTAATGAAAGAACACGGGGGACGACTCCACGGCTGCGGCCGTCGTGCGAAAGCATTCCGCCGAAGCCTGCACAAGTTGTGGAAATGCTCCCTACCACAGCACAGCCAAGACACCTCTATGACAACTTCCTTTAACTGTAGTCCTCGCTTTCGACCAGCCATACTTATAGCTTTATAGCCTTATAGCTATTAGTCTTTGGGTGTTGACTTCAAGCTGCCTGGCCTTGCGCTCAAGCCTTGCTTGAGCCTCGGCGTGGACTTCCTGCATCTTTATCGTCAACGTGTGAGACCTGAAGCGAGAGGTCGGTGAGCTCATGGTGCGCCCTAGCCGATCGCGTCGCGCACCCTTCGATTTGGGATGGGACGTTCCCAGCTTGCTCTGGGCTACGGAGACAGCGCGCTGCAGACATTGAAGGCCTCCGTGCAACAAGGTCAGCAGCTCAACTGAGCTGTGTCCCTTCAACACTCGAGTCGCGCACTGCTCGCAAACTGCTTCAGGTGCAGGTGCTCAACAAACATGTTGTAGTGAGCAACCTGCAGAGGTCTAGCACGTGTCTCTGTGTTTCTTTGTTGGGCCGTGGACATCAGCCGAGCGCCCCCACTACCAGCAATTGGGAAGTCTCTGTGGGTTCCGGCTTCTGAGTCGCCTCTGAGATCAATGAAAACAATGCTCTGCTTAGCGGGGATGCCTTGCAACTCTGCCTCAGCTTCCTCATGCCGGTGCTGATCAAGGAGAACTGCGACAGCCTCTGCGACTGTGTGACATGCCTCTCGCCATGTCATTGTGACTCACTGCATCATATCAGAATCAGAAGGTCAAACTCCGCCTGTGCTCACAAGTCCGCCAACAACAACTTGCTGTACAACCCCGATCACTCCGAGGACCTATGTGCTTCCAAGAAGCCCTCTCCACACGCTCTAGAGCTTCGCTATGTCGGCCTCGGCCGCAGCAGGGAGCCAACAAAGAGAAAAGAGCCGAACACGCTAGAAAAGACACACTGTCTAACAGTGCTTTGCGCAGTGAGGGCAGGGCCGCTGTTGCTAAGAAGAACTCCATAGTTCAGGTAGCTGCGGGCCTTTGCAGCGGCTCAAAGGCGACTCAGAGCGCCGAGCATCCTTGGCTTTGGCCTTCCTGGGCCCGTTGCCGGACTGTCGGCTTCTTTATACTTCTCTTCAATTTTCAATGCCTTCTCAGCGAACCTCGGCATCCACACTGCTCGCACCCTTCGGGACTGACTGTAAATTGCGAATGCATGGTTCAAAATTTGCAACTGGCGGCTGGAGCGCGGCATTCAACTTCCCTCGTGTGCGGTAATAACCTTCGGAGTACCGGCAGATGACTGCAAACACGTTGAAGAGTATTTTTCTGGCATACCGCATACCCAAAATTTTCAACTTGTCGGACTGGGAGCAACAAAGGTTGTTGAAGGTCACGGCCCGAAGGGCGACTCGACGCTTGAAGTTGGGCACATTCTCAGCTTCTGTCATGGCCTCTAAGCGCTGAGCTCGAGAAGCACTGCACTTTGTCGAAACAAGCTTCTCATTCTCCGCCTCAGCCTTCTTGAAAAGCTCGAGGGCAGCTATGTAGTTGCCTGGCACTGAACCGCTGTGCAGATTGCTTCGGACGGCCAACAAGCTGTTTGCGAAGCTCGCCTGTGCTCAAGCACTCCACGCCCCAAGCGTTGCATGAGACAACCTCGGGCCACAGCTCTTGCACTGGGCTCGACTCGGGGACTCGGGCCAGTTCTTGTTCGCACACAGCAGGCGAAGATCGCAAGCTTTTTTGCCCCGTGTCTGGGCAGTATAACTCCGAATGTTGCCTGCGGCAGTCACGACGCTTGCTTCTTAAGTATCGTGCTGCCAGCTAGTGGCTGTCACTTCGTCGTAAGGATGCCATATTCATGGCTCCGAAATCGTGCTGTACGGCGGTCACCCCATTGAATTCGAGCAGCTGCATACCCGTGACTCCGGCTCTCACCGACAAGACATGCAGCATGGGAAAAACAAGTGCAGAACGGTTGGATGTGCTGGGGGCAGCTCTGCCGTTGCTATAGATCCAGGCCGACCCATGCGCAGGCAGAGGCTGAGAAAAATCCACTAAAGACCCTTAAATCGCACGAAGCAAGGCACGTGTTGAATTGGATTTCACAAAACAATTTCCTCTTTCTGTTGCTCAAAGCTGCCTCGACTCAGAGATCCCATGCACCACTCATCGTCCTTGGTCAAAGACTCTCCCCTCACGCTATACTTCTGCCTGCTACATGCGAGCTCAACCTGCATAAAGGCCACGATCACAGGACGCAGGACAAACTGACATGACTCTCTGAGTTGGGGGCTCAGGATCGTCGAACTAGCAAAATCCTGACGCAGCACTGCTAGGCAGAGATCGGCAGTAGGGTACCCATTTGAGGCCCCCGGCCTGCTATCTCGCGAGTGGCTCTGCACGGACTCCGCTTGCTGCGCCAACTTTTTGAAAAGATGTGCGCGCGGAGGCTCAAGACCAAGTGCCCGAAGTCGCAGAGCAGCTTGTCGAGCTTCTTCGGGCTCGGTGGCAAGGTGCAGATTCTTCCTCATTGATGGAACTCCATCCTGGTTCAGATCGAACTGCAGCTGTGCAACACAAGTGTTCACAACACAAACCGAGGCAAAGCATGCTCAGGACGGCTCCCTTCGGTGTGCTGTGCTGCCCATAGCGGCTCTTGACGAAGGCAAACACTGCTCTGCTGCACCTACACCCCTGCCAGAACCTCTTGCTGCGGCACCAGGCATGATATACAGAGCAGGAAGCGACACGAGAGAGTAACTGCAAAGCTAATGACCGGCTGGCTTTCGTGCTGAGGACAGGCGGGCAGGTATAAGCAGCCCGGGCAAGCTTCCTGGGCGCCGGGACATACTTCTCAATGGAGACCAAGAGTTCTTCGTGGTCGTCTCCCAGAAGCTGCTGCCGAACACAGATCGCCTTGAAAGACACCGCGCAACAGCTAACAGCGCAGAAGAAGAGGGGAGATTTGTCGTGTTGGCCCATGTGCGCGGACTTCACACTTTCAAAAATGCGGTCCAGGCTTGTGTGCTCTCCGAGACCAAGCCGCACAAAAGACAACGAACAACCAGACAATGAACAACCCCTCACAACCAGTCCACGTCTGAAGTATTCTCTCGCTACATTCGAGGGTTGCTTCAAGCGCCGCCTCTGCGCTACTCTAATATCTTTGGGCTCCAGGCCTGTTCCAGATGCTCCGCAGCATCAACAAATCGCCGATAGGTGGCACAAAACCTTGGCATAGCATCATGTCGGCTGCATTCAAGTTTAGATGGGGCTGCTGCAAGCCCAGTGCCCTAGAGCCTAGTGCAACTGCAGTTCGAGCTCCAGGCGACGCATCCGATTCTGCCTCCTCTATCGCAATAACATCATCCTCGAAGAGCCACATACTCATGTTGCCGACTGCAAACGTGTTCAAGTCAAGCATCACATCAGAGTATGCCGAGCTGAGAACGTGTTGGTGAAGGTCTTCCGGCACCTCAAGCACGCAAAGACACACAGCGTGACTCATGCCTTCAATCGTTGGAGCAAAAAGACGGGTACTGAGTTCGGCGAAGCTGCAAATCTGCAGATACTGTACATCCGAGGTGCTATGCTCTTTATGTCCTTGAGCAAAACGATCTCCTGGCTTGAACTGCCTCGGTCCCAAGTTTAGTTGAAGTTGAAGTGAATATGCTGCCGACACAGTGGGGAGGAGGACCATGCACTCCCAGGCCCCTGCCTAACCATATTGGCAAGGCAACCACGGACAGATCCTGGCACAAGGTCCACGGTAGACCCGAGCTTTTGCCGCATGCGGGGGAATGGGGGAAGCAAGCCTCAGAGGGTGTCTCCGAATGATGCCTCAAGCGCCGACGAGGGGCCGCCTGGATGCTCTTCAAGCAACGCGGGCTTTGAAACAGGCTCCCACAAGACAGGAGACCCAAGTTGATGGGCCTTCGGCGGAGACTCTGGCACCCGAGGAACCAGTCGGGGAACCCAAGCGCTGGTGCCGGTCTTCGGCAAAAACCTGACCGATCTCGAGATGTTCACCACCAGTGTACAGGGCCTCACGTTCGAGAGAAAGCGCTCAGGCAGGAGCCCAGCTTCCGTTCCTCAGGGGCTCACGCTCTTCTCTCTTCTCAGCTGGCAGTGTGCACTGCAAGACTCAGGTTGAAACGCATTGGCTCGTCAGTCTTCGCAAGCCTCGGGCAGCAGCTATGTCGAATCTGTTGGAGAGCTCCACACTTCTTTCCATCGGCCTTCATGTCCGATCCGTGCAGCCCTTAAGCCGCTGCAGTGCCACCTTGTCAGCCATTGCCCAAGGCGCTATTTGCATCCCTTCGGAGCCAATTCAGCAGGAGCAATTCAACAGGACAGTCGCAAGTCACAAAGCTGCAAGATGGTGTGACGATGTGTAACGAGTGTGATGCGTTGTGCTGCGTTTTTTACACGAAGACCGGGCTTCTCTGGTGGGCCGGGGCAGGCCTGCCTGGCAGCAGGAGCAAGGTCTAGTCGAATCAAGGCCGCCCCGCTTTTCTTTATACTGTACACTTTGTGATTCTCATCCAAGCGGCAAGCAGAAAATGCGGCTGCTTCAGGTGGGCCCCGCTCGTTGACCTGAATGCGAAATCTTTTTGGCGTTGGCTGCAGTAGGGTACAGTCATTGCCATTTAGACCCAGGCGGAGCCTGGGTCGGCCACATTTTTTGTAACTTGAGCTAGGTGCGATTCAACAGGCACAACGAGCGAAGGACTTAAGTCAAGCCGCTTCCGATGCACGGCGCACTGGAACAGATGGGTCTCCAGAGAAACTGGTCTGCCTTGAACAGGGCCCCAATCAAGCCATTCACAAAACCTCAATCTGGCTTCCCATTGCCACCAGAGACAGCGAGGCGGCCTCCACAGGCCTAAGGCAGCAGGTGGTATGACCTTGTCAGACACTTAGACTCAGGAGCGAGGCATTGGAATTGCACCAACAGCAGCAGCCTGCGGGGTCGAAGGTGAAGAAGGACCCGTAGCCGGCCCGCATCCTGGAGGCAAGGGACACTCACAAGGCTCAGTTCGAGACATGCAGAGGATTCCTTGCCACGTCCCCTTCTGCAACGGCTTGCTGATCGAACCGGAGCCTGGTGGCTGAAGCCGGCTGGATCTCTGGACTTTTCAGCTTGTGGTTTGGGCAGCAGCTTGTGCCCTTGCCACGGCCGGCGATGTGGGGCCGGGAAACAAGAAACCCCCCTAGCTGAGACTGCTACAGTTTGAAACGACAGAAAGGCCAGTACGAAATGTGATCCAACCGACAGTCAGTCGTTGTCATGTCAAAAAACCTGTATGCCTGTGTGACTCGTCAAGGTACGGTCAGCTGCAGGAAGGAAGCGCTGCAGCCATACCTTGGACTGGCAACACTAAATCACAAAAGAACCCTAGGCACTGGTGCGGCGAAGGAGCCATCTCTGCTCTCAGAGCCTCAGGACAGCGCAGTGTCGCAGATGAACGACTCACCAACAATGCCTGCTGCACGCGCTGTCGATGTGAACAGGGCAAACCATGTCAGTGGAATGGTCAGTCCGCGGCTTTTGTCCGACCCAAGACGGAGATGAGCTCCTAGTAAACGACGCTGAAGCGCTGGGCAGCGCATCCATGTGTGTCATGGCGATCGTGTCAACTCTCGAGATTGCTCAACGACGTGACTCCCCCAAGCAAGAAGTACTGCCATGCCTCCAATAATAGATCATTTTCTCGCTGCAGCGCGGCCTGTGCGGCACTTGTCCAGCCACTGTCTCAACACAACTTCTGCCTTCAAGCTTTCGCGCTGTGTCATACCAACTAAACGGCATGAACCTTCCAAGCAGCGAAAAAACAAGAAATCGACACCGGTCATGACAACACAAGATCCAGCTCAGCTCAGTTATCCAACTTCGTGGCAGCCTGGAATGCAGCCATTTGCTCCACTTTGTCTCCAAACTCTGCACGCTCTTGCCTCAGCAAGCAGAAGCCATGAATGCGAGCCTTTCCGCTTTAGCCATGACTGCGACCGCAAAATGCACCAACAGCCACAAAGGCTCCCACTCCAAAGTTTGACGTGATCTTTCGAGCTCCTGATGTCAATTCTGAACGAGATAGCCTTGCAGGAGCCCACTTCAAGAGTAATCACATGAGTTTGCCTTGCGAGCGGCTTGTTCACTCTGCTTCGCCTGACAGCCGCAAAGCCCACTGCGAACATCTTCCACTGTCGTCAAGGAGTTGCCGATCAGCTTCAACATGCAATGCGATCTCTGAAAGGCCCATCTCTGACACACTGACCACAACAAACCGTCACGCTGCATCCTCATACTGAAGTTCGCCTTGTCTAGATCGTCGTGCATCTGTTCCAGGCGTGCTGCTTGCTTCATGCAGACCTGTGGCTGTATCTACACTGAGTTTCAAGCAACTCTTGTGGCACATAAAACTGTCACAAACACATGCAAGCCGCCTCTGTCAACTTGCGGCACTGTGCGTCCTAAGTTGATGCACTCGAATCCGATGTCGTTTGAAAGGAAAACTTGACTCAAAATTTTTGCAGGAAGCCTGGATGCTACAACCAGTGTCACCAGTCGAAGCGCCTGAGATTAGATATTAGGCACTCTTGTTGACATGCCAACAGGTCTGCAGTTGCAACGCGGTGCTAAGTTGCTGACTAGCTTTGATGTCCGTCGACATTGCGCATCAACCATATCATGCACTTATTGGCACAAGTTTGGTTCCAACATCTACTTAAACCATGGACCAACGGAACCGCAATTCCGTATTCGGAATCGGCAACGCTATCCAAGAATCTGGACGCCCTGTGGACATGTTTCCCCATTGCTCATTAACATTGATGCAAAAATATTTCTGTTCTCATTGCGTCATTGTGATCGAATGGAACTTGAATACTCGGTTTGGTCCCGAACTGAACGGGTCTTGCTTGGAAAACGGATGTCTTGTAACCATGTGAAATGTGAAAACCATCTTGTTTTGGTGTGTTTCCAAGCCGTGTTCTGCTGCAAGACTACGAGTGCTAACCAGTTGGTCATGAGCATCCGCACAGCATAGTAGAGCAGTTGAAGGTGTTTCAATGTGTGCAAAGACAGTTACGCTGCTCCCAATACAGTATCACTGTCAACTGTCACGTTGTCACTGTTGGTGTGACGATGACGACTTGAGACGAGTTCACAAGTTCAATCACCCAACTTCATGCAATGCTGCGCGCTTGATCACCTAAAGTTCGCTATGCACATTTTTTGGTGGAATGTCCCTGGACGAGCACTTTGGGTTCAAAAACCATGCGAAAGAATTTCGCTGAGGAAGCCGTTCGCGAGAGAAGCAACATTTATCCCCAAGCGTCACCTGGTACATTGAAAAAAAACTTAGACTTTGAGCAGCAAAAAATTGCGAGAAAATGAGAAAATGAACAGTTGAGTCATTGGCGCACATGCACAAGAGCATGCTTGTCGCGAGCCCAGGTTCGAGGCGAGATTGCATCTGGGACAACTTGCACAGCAACACTGTCCACGATAGATGTAGAGGTGTAGGAAAACAAGTGCATGGAAAGATCGACAAGCCGAAACGGCCGGCGCGACCTCTTGTTAAAACTGACCGACAGGTCATGATGCTCCGTTGCATTTGTCCGAACAGATAAAAATCTGATACGGCTGCGGCGCCAAGTAACCAGTGAATGCTGCGCATCCGCCTTGCAGGCCAAAGGCAAATATGGCATGGGAATAGCAGTCGCAATATCAAGCACGGTAATTGGCTTCTCACGCTGTTTCTCTCTGAAGTCTCTGTAGCAAACACAGAGGCTCGGGCTCAAGAAGAAGGATTTGGCAATGTTTCGAATCTATGGTTCTAACTTCGGGTGGAAGCCGGGGGAAGGTCCGTAACATGACGTTAGAACACGTGGGGTTGCACCCTAAATTCGAGCTCTTGGAAGTTCGGTTGAATTTGGAGTTTGGGCTCCAGGTTCGAACGTTCGAAATCTGGGTTCGGGAACTCTGTGCCCTGGGTTCCGGAACTCCCAGAGTTCGAACATAGAGTTCTCGAACCCAAAGTTCCAACATAGAGCTTCCGAAGGATTTGAACAGAATTCCCGAACCCAAATTTGAACACAGAATTCGAACTCCAGGTTTAACCCAAATTTCAACAATTCAAGCCTGGAAGATCCAATGGGAACAAAAATAAGCAGCAAATTAACAGCAAAAGAGGATATACACATTTACTCACCTAAAATTCCTGCGTGAAAGTTGGCGAATTGTTTCAATCGGGCCAGATCAACCCCAAAATGCGAGCCGCAAAGATATGGAAGTTGAACTTTGCTTCCGAAAAAGACAGGACTTACTCCACAAAAGCCCAAAAGCTTCGGCAGCTGCCTGCTTGCCGACCCACTGGCACTGGCGACAACCAGCACAACTTGCTCACTTGCAGAACTACAGAGACAAATCACTCCACCTACCAACTACGGGGGCTTTTGCACTGCACGGCTGCGGATTGGCACACTTCTCGATTTGCGTGTCGTTCGTGGACGTGTCGACCTGAGCGGATGGCCATGCAAATCTTTTCTGTACTTCCGACCCTCCTGAGCAGATATGTCTTGCCGCTCTGGACACCATATCACGGCAGAAATTGCACATGCCCGACGAGATTAATAAAGCATATGTCATATGTCCGTACTCCCGAAAGCATCGCGAAGGGTTCTTCCGTGCGAAGCCATTGCGAGAAGTACATAGAGTGAAGCACGTCGATTGAAATGCATCGTACATAGAGTGAAGTACATAGTACAAAAAGTGAAGTACATAAAATGAAGTGCATCGAGTGAAGTGCATAGTGCATAGAGTGAAGTGTATAGTACATAGAGTGAACTACATCGAACTCTATGACTCTATCTCACTCTGACTCTATGACTCTCTGACTCTATCTCACTCTGACTCTATGACTCTATGACTTTATGACTCTATGACTTTATGACCCTATGACTCTATGACTCTATGACTCTATGACACCATGACTCTATGACTGTATGACAGCATGACACTATGACTCTGCGACTCTATGATTCTGTGCTTTTGATTCTATCCGACTTATCTACATCTCGGTCGATATATAATCTCTCTTTTGAAAGCCAGGGTCCAGGGTGGCACCATCGTCATCATGGATGCTCGGGAATGCAACCATTCACAGGGATTGGCCCGGTCTCAGCTGAGGTGCGAGGGAAAGCCAAGTCTGGGCAAGAAGGGCATCATCTTTCTCAACAACTCAGAAAACGTCGGTTCTCTCCAAGCCTTGATTCAGTCAAAACAATCTACCAGCCAGGTTTAAACCCAGGTTATAACCCAGAATTCAGAGACACACAGCAGAGCTCGTTCGGCCTTTCAAAGCGCAGCTTCACTCAGGAGTCTTTTGGCCAGGACGGAGCGGTTTTGTACAAGCATCCACAAAGCAGCATGTTCCAGTGGCAAGTGCGTAGAAGATAAAATGACATGGTCACTGCATTGTTGTCTCATGTTCTTCTGCTGCATGTGCTTTATTTCATCACAGTTGCAAAATTTTGTAATTGCTCGAATGCGCAGCAACTGCACTCTCAAGTGGCAAAGTTTTGCGGACGGACTCCGCGCCTTTCGTGGACGGAGGCGGATTGTTGAACCTGACTCCGAGGCCGATGGCACGGTTTCGACGGTGAGTGCCATCAGTCGTCATCTTTCAGACTTGCAGAGGGATCACTGGGCTTTGTAAGGGCAGCTTCGTGAATCAGCACGACGTACAAGTGCTTTTGGACCGTTGCGAGTGTCTTGAGAGCAGGATTCCTTAGAGTCCTTCACCGTGTGGCTGGGACGCATTGTGCAGCGGGTTCGTGCATTCGCCGCTGCATCACAGGATGCCTCTACCAGCCCAGTGGTTCTCTAACTCTTTGCCACGCTTTCCGGCGGACCCCTAAATTGTGACCTAGCGATGGTCACGGCTAACTTCCGAGTTTTCGTCTTACATTTCGCTGCTAGTGCCATGCCAGCAGTGAACTGCTTGTCGTAGTCCGCTGTGATTTTCCATTAAGCTCACATGTCCACAAAAAGCATGAAAACGAGTCCAGCTCTGGCACCTTAACTGGCGAGAACTAGGTCCTATTCCAGGTCAAACAACGCGGTCTGTTTTTTTTCCACCTAATACCCACATTGACCAAGGCGAAGAACACGAGTCACTGAGTCGAATTATCGTGCTCGCACAGGAGCCTTGTTGCTTGTTGTAGTGGCATACAAACTCCCAAACAATGCAAGCTTATTTGCTCGCAATGAATCTAGCCGAACGAGACAACATGGGGAAGCATGCTTCGCAGGGTACTCGATTGCCAAACTTTTGCTGACTTTCTTCGCAAGAAGCAACTTTCCTTTCTAGCTGCCAAAAACTGGATGTCCCAAAATGAGCTTGAACTGTGATCTGCGCATAATGAAGTGTACTTTATTTTGCAAGATAACCGTCCTGTGCGAGCGCAATAACCAAAGAAAGGTCCTCGTCAGCTGAACTTTTGTCTAAGCTGCACTTGGGATTGCATCTGGATTGCGCTTCATCTTGTGGTGTCTGTCTGCTTCATATGCGGTCTTTGTCGACTACACAGCACTTGGTCCCTGTAAGAAAGAGAGCAACTAACAAGAAATGAAGAAGCTGTACAAAAATGCTGGATGAAATAGAAGCTGCGAACATACAGATTTGGTCGGCGAAATCGTTCAGATCTGATATACACACTGGCTCTCGGTTCACTGGCTCTGCTTTTCGAAGACATGGGTTGCGCAATGGCCACCATCAAAATTGTCAGGTGAATGGCAGTTCGCAACACAAGAGCAAAAGGTGAGTTGCCATGCGCCCAGCTTCCCTTCCAATGGGTCTCACAAGGGAGAATCACTCATTCAGAAAGGCAGTGTGTCGTAGAGCAGTCTGTCACAGGCCGCTGTATTCTGGCAGCTTCTCTCACAAGATCTCGCAAGAGCTTTCGAGAAGAAGTACCACAAGAGTGCGTTATGGAGTGCTTGCATCGGTTCCAAGTTGAAAGAAGGCGCAGTGCGCAAGTTAGACTCCAAGGTCCACGGCTGCGTACCCACTGCATCATGGATGGCCGACGCACGAAAGTCAATGCCCTCGTATAGTCCAACGACCGCTCGACAGGTATGGCGGGAGACCGGCGAGCGTCATCAATGCCTCGAGATCAACTTGGATAAAAGTGGCGCCGACTTGGAAGCCAAGTCGAACCCACAGTTGGAGTCTGCGCTCTATTTGCCAACACACAAACACACACCGATCCAAGTATGCGGCTACCGACTGTTGGTATGCCCTCAGCTGTTGCCGAAAGGCAAGACCGGCCGTTTTGCGCTCTCGTGAGTCCACAGCAGTCAATAGCTGCCGCGTAGCGACATTCGCGGAGGAGTGCAGTAGAGCAGCGAGAGAGGTTGAACAGAGACATAGGTGGCAACGTAAGAGAGTGTTCTCTGATAAATCCGCCATGGCCAGGTGTCTAGAACCTTACGGAAGGGCAAGACACATAAAATGAGCCCAGCTGTACAGTTGAAAAGATGTCGAGCGTGTAGTGGAGTCACATGGCTGAACTAAGTCATGCAGGCGCAGGGCTCTAGCAGGCGGCTCGGCCGTGCCGGTTATTCCGCCGGTATGGTAATCGTAGTACCTATCTTCCCAGACCAAAA